GGATCACTTTTGTGTGGCCTTCCTAGCCATGGTCTTGTAATTCCTACCCAAGTGACTGAGTGGGACTGTGTAAATAAGCCAATTGTGGCCCACCAAAGGGACTGGTCAGTTTTGCCTTAAAAGAGAGCCAATTCTAGAGCAGAGAGAGGATCCCACCACCACCAAGCAAGGACAGCCAGGAGGGGAGAACATGTCCTTTGAACCCAGGATCCCTGCATTGAGAAGCTCCTGGACCCAGAGACAGAGAGCGAACTGTAACCCTGAATACAGTGAAAAGCAGTTGCAGGAGAGCCTGGCAGGAGATGGTAGAGTGGACTTCCTGGCCCGTAGAGCGAGAAAACTGAGTGCCTTCGGGCCAAGGCTTACTGGCAGAGTGGGGTGCCTCTGAGTACTTATTGGCAGTGGCTAAAAGAGCTTTGTAACACTTACCTGAGCAGGGCAAAGGCCTAGGGCCAGAGAGAGAGATGTGCCTTCCAGCACAGCTGAAAAGAGGCTGTCCTGATGGAAGAACTGTAACCTGAGTGTTCCTCAACCTGAGTTGTAACCTTTTACTTCCCTAATAAACCCCCAAACTGTGAGTATTGTCTGTGAGCTCTTTGTGACCATTCCAATGAATTATTGAATCCAGCAGAGAACAAGAGTGCTGTGGGAGGGATGGTTGGTGTTAGAATTGGTAAAGATGCAGAGAAAGGATTCGCGTCTGAACTCCTTATAGGAATCAGCCTTGGGCTGTTGATCTTGATGCTCCTTCCGCCTTGTGAAGTTAGAGGAGGTCAGACACCACTCCCATGCCATTTTTACGCTGGACTATATGAAGAAGAATGCGCCATCAGGATTGGAGGAAGACTCTTTAACAACCTTCGATATGCAGATTACACAAACTTGCTTGCTTAAAGCGAAGAGGACGTGAAGCATTTACTGATGATGAGCAAAGACTACAGCCTTCAGTATGGATTGCACCTCAGCATAAAGAAAACAAAAATCCTCACAAATGGACCAATAAGCAACATCATGATAAATAGAGAAAAGATTGAAGCTGTCAAGGTTTTCATTTTACTTGGATACACAATCAATGCCCATGGAAGCAACAGTCAAGAAATCAAACGACATATTGTATTGGGTAAACACCTATATATTTTTTAAAATCTTCTTTAAAGTGTTGAAAAACAAAGATTTCACTTTGAGGACTAAAGTGTGCCTGACTCAGGCAGTGATATTTTCAGTGGCCTCATATGCATGTGAAAGCCGAACTATGAATAAGGAAGACTGAAGAAGAATTTACGTCTTTGAATTATGATGTTGGTGAACAATATTGAATATATCATGGACTGCCAGAAGAACAAACAAATCTGTCTTGGAAGAAGTACAGCCAGAATGCTCCTTAGAAGCAAGGATGATGAAACTACGTCTCACATACTTTGGACATGTTATCAGGTGGGATCAGTCCCTGGAGAAGAGCATCATGCTTGGTAAAGTAGAGGGTCAATGAAAAGGAGGAAGACCCTTGATGAGATGAATTTACACAGTGGCTGCAACAATGGGCTCAAGCATAACAATGATTGTGAGAATGGTGCAGGACCAGACAGTATTTTATTCTGTTGTACGTAGGGTCACTATGCATCAGAACCAACTCGAGAACATCTAACAACAACAACAAACTTGTTTTTAAAAAAGTGCTCAATGTGCATTCTTCTTCAATTTTTGCAATAATTTGCAAATTGCTATTATTTAATACAAATTTTCTCTTTTTCTTAAAACTAGTAAAATTGGTTTTAAAACGCTGCTAGGACATTTGGAGGAGGAAATTTCTCTGACGAACACATCAATTGGATTAATGTTTATTAGTCTATTCAATTTTTCTCTTACTTATTATGCCAATTTCAGTATTTTGAACTTTTTTTTGGTAACCACAGATCCATTTTGGCTAGATTTTCAAATCTGTTAGCTTAGAGACATGCATAATATACTTTCATTGTCTTTATATCTTCCTTTCTTTTTTTTTGTATCTTAATGTTTATACAGTTATTCTGCATTATAATCCACATATCTATTTTCATTTTTTCTTTCTCTTTTATCAGTCCTACTAGATATCTATCTACCATATTCATTTTTTTAAAGAACCATCTTTTTTGTTAATCTTTTCTATTGTTTTTATTCTCTATAGCATTCCATCTTATTTCTTTATGCTTGTTCTGTTGCTCATTTTAAAATGGATTGAGGAATACTTAATTCTTTAATCTGTAACTTTTTTTGTTGTTCTGACAAGTGTATTTAAAAATATTAACAATTATCTACCTCATAATTTGTACTTGAAGTAGTTCCATTTGCTATTCAGTAACAAATATTTCTTAATTTTCCTTCCCACACAGTTATTTAGTAATAATACATTATTTGATTTTCAAATATGAGAGGTGTGTGTTAAAATCTCTAACCATAGTTATTGATTTATCTAATTCTATTACTTTCTGCTTTTTTTTTTTTTTTTGGACATAGGTAAGGCCTGTTTTATTAGGTGAAGGTGGGCTCATGATTGTTATATCTCCTTTCTCTCTTCTTCCTTTTACATTACATGTCTTTCTTTGTCACTTATGATATAGTTTGCCAAATTCTGTTTTCTCAATTGTTAATATTGCTACTCCTGCTCTTTTATTATTAATATTTGACTAATATATCTTTTCCTATCCTATTGTTTTAATACTTGTGTTACTTTACTTTTAAGGTTTCTTTTGTGATCAGTACATCATTGCTTTAAAAAATTCCAATCAGATATTGTCTTTTAATTTGTAACTTTAAACCATTTACATTTGTTGTTAACCAAAAAAAAAAAAAAAAAGAAAATTGTTTTACTTATGGTATATTAGGACCTAATTCTCTCATTTTTATGTTTCAGTTAATGAACTTGGTTTTAAAAATAAAAATAAAAATTACTTTATTTCCAGCTTTTCCTTGATGATGATTTATAAGTTACATATCAAGGAGTTCTGGTGGAACAACGGTTCAGCCCTCAGCTGCTAACTGAAATGTTGGTGGTTCTAACCCACCTAGCCACTCTGCAGGGGAAAGACTTGGAGATCTGCTCCCATGAGGATTACAGTCTAGAAAACCCTGTGAGACAGTTCTACTCTGTCCCGTGGGGTGGCTGTGAGTTGGAATTGACTCACTTGTACCCAACAACAACATTAATCCCCAACTCTTAAAAAAATAAAAGTTACATATGTGTTTTTGCTCTTATTATGGTTATCCATAATCAAATATCCATATTTCTAATTATTTATCACCTTGCTAACATCTATGTATTGCTAATACATGCACCCCTCCCTTTAGCCTGCTCTCAGTTCATTTTCTGAAAACCCCCAAACTTCCACAATTGATTGCTATTGACTAGAATTTTAGCTTTGAACTGTTATGGATATTTTTCTTTTTCTCTTGCTCTTTCACTTTCATTAATTCTAGAATTTTTTTTCCCCTATTTTACCAGTTATTTTTTCCCATGTATTTTCCTTCCTTTTTGGAACTTTTACTTCTATGCTTTGTATTTTTTAGCTTTTCTTTACTATTTTAAATTAGTTTTCCCTTTTCATTGCCTCTAGAAGAGTTTTCGATCTGATGGTTCGCATACTCATTAGACATTTGCATCCACCTTAGTTTTATTCTTTATATTGCCTTATTTCCATTTTAATATTTCACATATCAAAAAGTTTCCCCTTATTATTTCTTTATAACTATTTTTTCCTGTTTTATGTTGCAGGTTTCTTCTCTTATCTCTTTAGCATAGTTATATTCTGATAAATAACTTTTTTTCATTCTAATAATTCTGCTTCAGTTGATACATATTGCTCAGTTTGCTGTCTTTTATTTATGCTGTTTTCCTCCTCAGACATCCAGACATTTTGACTGCAAATTTTCATAATGATTTTAGATATTTTTTTCTGGTAAAGTGTATTGGATAATGTTCTAGGTCAAGCTTGAGTCCTTGTCCCTCTTAGTAAATGTAAGTATAGGGAAAAGAGTAAGGCCCAGAGCTGAAGGTTCCAGAACCAGTGTTACCCACTCCAGTTTGCTGCTGCTACCCCATCAGGTCAGGAATTAATCTTTAAGACCTTATAAATTGTCAACCTTAGGATGAGGTGTCCTCTGTAAGTTGTGATCCACCAGCCCTTGGGGAGGGAGGAGGTAGAGTGGTAAATATTTGCACCTGTTGCCATCACCTCCCAGCTGGACTTGTTATCTACCCTGTCATTACCCTGCCAACACCTGTGACCTGGTACGTTGTTGGTGATTTTTCTGATGAAGGGGCATGGTAGTGATTGTTCCAAGTTAAATAAAATTATCCCAAATTCCATCCATAATTTCTCCATCCTTCAGTAGTTTCTCCAGAAATGATTTTAGAGAAAAAGCCAGTAGTTCTCCTGGTTGCTCCTTATGCTCCAGACCATACTTCTTTTTATTCCTTAAACAGGAAAATCTAGTTCCTACCACAGATCCTTCACAGAAAGGCTGGAGGTTTGAGTCCACTCAGAGGTGGCTCAAAAGAACGGCCTATGATCTATTTCTGAAAACTCAGCCATCGAAAACCCTATGGAACACAGATCTACTCTGACACACGTGGGGTTGCCATGAGTCGGAGTCAACTTGATGGCAACTAGTGGAGGTGATGGATGCCTAGAATACTTTTTTCTCAGATCTTTAATGATTGTCTCCTCCTCATTAATTTCATCTCACCTCAAATGTCATCTTTTCAGAGTGACCTTTCTTGCCACCATATTTATGATGGCTACTATTCTAGGCATTATCTTATTACTCAGTTTATTTTTTTATAGCACTTACCCACCAAACCAAACCCACAGCCAATGAGTGGATTCCAACTCATAGTGACACTATAGGACAGAGTAGAACTGCCCCAAAATGTTTACAGGGCTGTAAATCTACATTTCTGAAAACAGAGTTGTAAACATTACAATCAGGATGGTGTGTGCCAGCTTTCTTTCCCTGTTCCTTAGGATGTGTGTAGTGATTTTCGGCCCTATGTGAAGGACGGAAGACTTGGATGCACAAGGGAAAATGATCCTGTTCTTGGTCCTGATGGGAGGATGCATGGCAATAAGTGTGCGATGTGTGCTGAGCTGTTGTAAGTAATGTCATCTCCAAGCAGGTGAACCAGGTGACGATGTACTTGGTTCCTGCCCTGAGAACCACTCTACAGATAAAGTCAGTTTCATGAACTATGCAAGCCTATGCCTTCATAATGTGAAATAGATCTTACTCCCAGACTGGTTTCTTTCTTTTTATTCGTATCTTCTACTGATGTTTCTGAAAAGGAGTGACTAAGGTAAATACATTTAAAAAAAAAAAAAAAAAGAAAGAAAGAAAATCCATACTGCTGTGTAGATTCTGACTCATAGGGACTTCATATGTGTGGAGGACAACTGCTCCTTAGGGTTTTTGTGGCTGTAATCTTTAAGACAGCAGATTGCCAGGCCTTTCTTCCATGGTCTGGCTGAGTGGGTTTAACCGCCAATCTTTAGGTTAATAGTTAAGCATAAACTGCCTGTGCCATTCAGGGACCTTAAGTTGGCTATGCTAGTTATTAAGTCTGGGACTCTTAAATTTTTCTAATTATAATGACATGAAAATGCACAGAGTTTATAAGGCACAGAATTTTAAAATTTAGAAAGCACTACTTTTATATGGGGTAATGGAGGTCAGTCAGTCATTTGACATGGATTGCTTGATTTGAGCATATGTAGAGACTCTTACTGAATAATCACAGTCTAATTTAAAAAATAATAGTGTCATGAGGCTGAATTCATTATTGGTGCAAGAGGTGGCTTAATCTTTCTAAGTTAATCTTTCACTCAAGAATCTTTCCCTGAGTGTCTAACACTGTTTTGGGCACCAGAGACCCAGATATGAAGACGATCCAACGAGTCTTTAATGTTTTGGCAGTTAAACAAGGTACAGACACTCTAGTCCACATGTCAGCATGCTTTATTCTGTTTAAGTCACTGGATCTTCAAAAGTAGGACGGAAAAAGATTTAAAATACTAATAAACTTCATACTTGCCTGAAATATTAAAAACTTAAACTACAGTTAACTTTTGTAGAATTCAAACACAAGTCCTTTCGGGTTCACAAAACAGTGATTATAATTGGTTTCCAGACAGGAAATAAGCCTGATTTCCTCTTTGTTATCTAGGAGGCAGTACTTTCAGTGCTTAAACCTGCCCTAATTCTGTGGTTTCCTGTTTCAATTCATGCTCTGCCTGAACAAGAGAATTCCTGCCTCCCTAACTCCTGTTTCTTTCCTGGGTAGAACGGAAACAGTAACTCCTATCTCCACCATGAGACTGAAATTAGGTAACAGATATGACAGGGCTTGAAGGCTCAATTCAAATGTAGCTTTTATTAACAACCATGCTTTTACACAAAGGCAAACAAATACTTTACAAAGTATACAAACTATCCATAAGGGTGTGGATAGAAACACCTCAAATGCTCAGTTTGGCTTCACCCTCCTCAAAGCATTGTTGCGAAGCTCTTGATTCTGTTTGTTGAAAGGAATTTTCCTGACAATCTTCTGTTTGTCAGTCGAGGTGTACACCCATCCAGTTTTACAAAACAAAGCTTCTAATTGTCTGTGAGTCAGTTTCACACCCTTCATTACCTTTGGTAATTTCTCTGGCTCAGACATTCAAAACAGGAAAGTGCTTGTCTCATGGAAGTGGAACAGTTTCAACAAGTCATGGCAAAAGCTAAACAAGTACTTAGCCAAGGATCAAGCACTAAACATATCGTTGAACCTTAACTGATCAAATGTTGACTGTTCTCAACAGTTTAAAAGAAGCTGAAGAAAATGCCAAGCGAGAAGCTGAAACCAGAATTGGACAAAATGCTGAAAAGGTAAATGACTCATCAACACATTTTGGTTCTTGTGGCCATAAATATTAACATACTTATTCATGAACCTTTGAAGTAATGCAGTAATGTCATTGTTCTTTATTATTACGTTCATTTTTTTCTTAATTTCAAAATTCCCCAAATTGACTGTTGTTGTTAGATGCCATTGAGTCAGTTCCAACTCATAGAGACCCCATGTACAATAGCACAAAACACTGCCCGGTCCTGCGCCATCCTCACAATCATTGCTATGTTTGAGCCCATTGTTGTAGCCACTGTGTCAATCTATCTTGTTGAGGGTCTGCCTCTTTTTCGCTGATCCTCTCCTTTGCTAAGCATGATGTCCTTCTCCAGCAACTGGACCCTCCTGATTAATATGTCCAAAGTACATGAGATGAAGTCTCACCATCCTCTCTTCTGAGGAGCATTCTGGCTGTACTTCTTCCAAGACAGACTTGTTAGTTCTCTGGCAGTCCATGATATATTCAATGTTCTTCACCAACGTCATAATTCAAAGGCATCAATTCTTCTTTGCTCTTCCTTATTTGTTGTCCAGCTTTCACATGTATATGAGACAATTGAAAATATCATGGCTTGGGTCAGGCACATCTTAATCCTCAAAATGACATCTTTGATTCTCAAGACTTTAAAGAGGTCTTTTTAGCAGTTTTGCCCACTGCAATATGTCACTTAATTTCTTTACTGTTGCTTCCATGGGTGTTGCTTGTGGATCCCAGTTGACTATTTCTACTATATTACTCAGGAGCCCTGGTGGTATAGTGGTTAAGAGCTCAGCTGCTAACCAAAGATCGGTAGTTCAAATCCACCAGCCACTCCTTGGAAACCCTATGGGACAGTTCTACTCTGTCTTGTAGGGTCACTATGAGTTGGAACCAACTCGACGACACCTAACAACAACAACTATATTACTCATTAGATTCAGAGCTAAAACACCATTTCCTACCTAAGGTGCAAAATATGCAACTTCTTCCCTTGCTTGCAAAACAAAACAAATGGAGGATGTAAGTGAGAATGTTTATGCAAACTAAATTCTGCTTAATTTCTACCAGCCTACCCTGTGGCTTACAGCAATTTCTTTTTGCTTTGAATAAATTTAAAAAAAATCACAACAAAATATAAATTAAACAGAATGACTTCAAAAATAATTCTAGACTCTTTCAAACAGTGTATTCATTGGTGCATTTTATGTATAATTCCATTGATACATGTTGGAGTTATTTACTTTGCTATTATAGTTACAGCATTCAGTGAAATCTGCATTTATAAAGGTCTTGCTGCTGCTTAATTGAAAATCTCAAATGCATATTGAGATTATGGCTTTAAAAATACGGTTAAAATTAATTTAAAAAAATCAGTTGTTGATTTGTTTTTTTTCAATCTGGTATATATATGTATATATATGTTTCCTTTTGTTAATTGAAGAAACACTGTCGGTAATGTAACAAGAATTTCTTAAATCACCAAGGTTATTAAATCCTACTTTCAGTGAGAGTGATACCAGCTACTTTGCTAAATGACTAGATTTTTGCTTGGAAGTCAGAAAAACCTGAGCTTCAGCCTAGTTCTGTCATGCTCCTGGTGGGTGAAAATAAGCACATCTTCTCCTCTCTCTGGGCCTCAATTTTCTTGTCAGCAAAATAAAGAGGTCGATAGATGATTTCAATTTTACCTTCCTATTGAATTGTGATTCCATGTCTTGCCCATGTTTGGAGTAACTTTTGTGGATGGTAAGCATTCATTTCCTTTTGGTTAGGAGCTGTAGCTCTTAACCACTGTGCCACCAGGGCTCCATTCGTTTCCTAAGGGAACATAATGGCCCAGTTTTTGATAGCCAAGGTCTACCATTCTACTCTGTAATGTCATTCAATGAAGCAAAGTTTCCACCCTGAATAGTGTGTTCAGAGTTTGAAATAAGAAAAACAAAGCATTCAAAACTGTCTATACTTTGTTCAACATTCACCAAGGATTTGTGATGTTTTTAAATTTCAGTCTTAAGCTTTGCTTCAGACAGTGTTAATCAACATTTTATGACTCCGTAACCATAGAGAGTTCTTTTCTCTTGTGTTTCGTCAGGTCTTGACTATATTTCCCTCTTCCTTCTGTGCGGCGTCATTGTGTTGGTGGGGTCATTGGACATGGTTATGATGAATAGGAAGGAGCCCTGGTGGTACAACCTGTTAAGGTCTTGGCTGCTAACTGAAAGGTTGGCGGTTCGAACCCATCCATGAGAGAAAGACCTGGCAATCTGCTTCCATAAAGATTACAACCAAGAAAATCCTATGGGGTAGTTCTTCTCTGTCATATGGGGTCGTCAAAAGTCAGAATCAACTGGATGGCACAAAACAACAACAGCAATAATTTGAAAAGGACAGCCTTATAGTAATGTCTCAATATCTGCCCTATAATTAACCTGTCAATGAGTTGCTCACAAGTGTTTCCTCAGAATCTCCTTGAATGAATCACAGTTTATAAACCGAAATTGTCCTTGTTTCTGTGTGAGAATCATTGAGCATTAATTTTATTACTGTGCTGTGATTATCAGGTGAATGTCTTCTGTGTCTATATCCCTAGATTGTTCCAACTAGGAAGTTTGGAGCACACCCATTGTGCCTCCAAAAACAAATGTCTTCTTATTAGGAGGCAATTAGGATTCTATTTTAAAGTGTCCTAATTAATATGATTTATGAAAAACAAAGAAATCAGAGAACACTAGATCCAGAAAAGGTCCTAAAGAACATCTATTCCAATAACCTCATTGTGTAGGTGGTGAGACTGAGGTCCTAAAGGTGATGGGACTTTACTACATTCTCCCAGGGAGTTAGAGCCAATGTCTACTGCCCAGGTCTCCTGACTCTCAGCCACTGTTCTTATGTTCATGTCTTCTTAGCTAAAATTATGGTAATTTTTACTGTCACAAAGTACATTTATTGACATAGAGGTCTCCAAGCTCAGAGTTATTGGGGGTATATTTTTTGTTAAGTTTAGGCCTCATTAGGTAATTAGAAATTTCAAAACACAGAGAGAATGTGGAAGTACAGAACTAGAATATCTCAAATTCTGGAAGCAATTCTCTTTTGGATTTTTTTTGAAAGTCATAATCATTCTAGGTTTTCTAAATAAATATTAAACTTGATGGTCTTTCCCTGAGTGGGAACTGAAAGAATATTAGGTTCACTTTTTCTGATGTTTTCAACTAAAATGCCAAATAGCAACATTGATAAAAAAGAGAGCATAAACAAAAATGATCCATAGATCCATGGAGAAAAACAAACAAAATTAAGCATAATGTAGTTGGATGCCTTCTTATTCCTTTTTCTCCTGTAAACTAGGTTGGATTGTTCTTGACTTGATCCATATTAAGTAGCTTTTGAACATCTTATCTCACAGATTCTGTCTTCAGCTCACAGGCAACATTTGTTTGTTTTATATTGTTCACTGCACTTTGTTATGTCCTTGTTGGAATCCCACAAAATATATTTTATTTACTTATTTTTTCCTGGATTTGAAGTCAACAAGAATTATCTAGTTTTAGGAAATATTTACTCAACCTTATTCTTTCCTAGGATCATTTATCTTTTAATAAATACATCACACAACAGACACAGATACCAAGTGGTTTAATAATGTAATTATTATTGCTTATTAAGTCTCATTAATATGCTGTATATTTTTACCAATACCTTCTAGACGTCCTATGACTATAAATCTATCATGTAAAGTTTCAACATTAAGAAGAAGAAAAATACTAAATGAAATTACTTGTCTTTTTAAAGGATTTTTGCAAGGAATATGAGAACCAAGTGAGGAATGGGAAACTTAATTGTATACGTGAGAGTGACCCAGTCCGTGGCCCTGATGGCAGGATGCATGGCAGCAAATGTGCCCTGTGTGCAGAATTTTTGTGAGTATAGATGCAGTTTCTTCAGAATGACTTACCTGATAGAAATAGAGACTGGTTGGAATTGTGAGTAAAAATAATGTTGGGGGAAGTTTTTCTTGTTGAGAACTATTAAACAGTTTTATGCCCTCCACTAATCACAATACTTTCTAGTAAGTAGTCCCTATTGCTGTATGTCTATTCTAATGCAGTGTGACTATTTCTTAGTACAAACAGACTTCACATTCCAGTTGGAATACTGGTTTACAAAACACTTCTTAACATTTTACCACGTGGTCTTTGAAAATCTCCTTATGGACTAGTCATGGTACAGGATGGAGATGAAAAGGTACCAAGACTGATTTTTTTTTTCTTCAGTAATTATTCCATTGTGATAGAGTTGATGGGATTTGCTCAAGAAATTCACATTCATATGTTAATTGGATAACACTTATCTTTTCACTTGGGGCTTTTGACATTGGGAGAAGAGCAAATACTGCCAAATACATATTATGGCATTTATGAAGATGGTTCAGACAAGGTCTTATCACATTCATTCTCTTTCAGATCCTTGAACTCTATAAATTCTTTTCTACATGCGTTCCCTCTGCCAGTTCTTCTCAGTGTTGGTCAGCAAAAGCTTCTTCCTCTTGTAGACTGCATTTTATTATCTTCCTTCTTGGATGTTGTTGTTAGGTGCTGAAGAGTCAGTTCCATGTCATAGCGACTCTATATACAACAGAACGAAACACTGCCTGATCCTGTGCCATCCTCACAATTGTAGTTACATTTGAGCCCATTGTTGTAGCCACTGTGTCATGGATCTCACTGGATGGAATATGCAGGAAATAAAGCAACTACATTTGTGGAAAGAGATCATAGAAAAACTCAGTATCATAAGAACAAGGCCAATGGCTGACTGCGGAACAGACCATCAATTGCTATTATGCAATTTCAAGCAGAAGCTGAAGAAAATTAAAACAAGTCCATGAGAACCAAAATATAACCTTGAGTATATCCCACCTGAATTTAGAGACCATCTGAAGAATAGATTTGACCCATTGAGCATTAATGACTGAAGACCAGATGAGTTGTGGGATGATGTCAAGGACATCATACATGAGGAAAGCAAAAGGTCATTAAAAAGTCAAGAAAAAAAGAAAAGATCAAAATGGATGTCAGAAGAGACACTGAAACTTGCTCTTGAAAGTAGAGTAGCTAAAAAGAATGGAAGAAATGATGAACAGAAGATTTCAAAGGGTGGTTCCAGAAGACAAACTAAAGTATTACAATGAAATGTGTAAAGATCTGGAGTTAGAGAACCAAAAGAGAAGAACACGCTGAAAATTTCTCAAGCTGAAAGAACTGAAGAAAAATTCAAGCCTCAAGTTGCAATACTGAAGGATTCTATGGACAAAATATTGAATGACACAAGAAGCACCAAAAGAAGATGGAAGGAATACAACGAATCACTGTACCAAAACGAATTGGTCGATGTTCACCCATTTCAGGAGGTAGAATATGATCAAGAACCAATGGTACTGAAGGAAGTAGTCTAAGATGCACTGAAGGCATTGGTGAAAAACAAAGCTCCAGGAGTTGACAGAATACCAACTGAAATGTTTGAACAAACTGATGCAGCCATGGAGATGCTCAATCATCTATTCCAAGAAATTTGGAAGACAGCTACCTGGCCAACCAACTGGAAGAGATCCATATTTGTTCCCATTCCAAAGAAAAGTGAATCAACAGAATGTGGAAGTTATTGAACAATAGCCTTAATACCATATACAATTAAAATTTTGCTGAAGATAATTCAAAACCAGTTGCAGCAGTACATTGATAGGAACTGCCAGAAATTCAAGCTGGATTCAGAAGAGCACATGGAAGTAGGGATATCATTGCTGATGTCAGATGGATCTTGGCTGAAAGCAAAAAATACCAGGAAGGTGTTTACCTGTCAGAATGACAGTCCGTGGTATATTCAATCGTCTTAGCCAACACCGTAATTCAAATGCATCAATTCTTCTGAGGTCTTTCTTATTCATTGTCCAGCTTTCATATACACATGAGGGGATTGTAAATACCATGGCTTGAGTCAGGCGCACCTTAATCCTCAAGGTGACATCTCTGCATTTTAACACTTTAAAGAAGTCTTTTGCAGCAAATTCCTTGGTTGGATAAAATCTCGAAAAGTAAACAGTTTAAATCTAGTTCTTATGACCTTTAATTTTCTTTCACAACAATCATCATATTTTGCAATTATATAATTATTTCTGTGACTTTTGTTGACTATCAGTCTCCTTTACTAGGCTATAAGTTCCAAGGGTACAGGATATGTGTTTGCGTTTTGTACCACTACAAACCCAGGGCCCAGGCTAATGCTTGGCAAAAAAATAGTCACTAACTAATTGTTGAATGAAAGTGTCAGTGAATGAATGTATGAATAAAAATCCCTGCTCTCAGGAAACTTAATGCTAATAGAAGAAATAAGCCATGGACACACATAAATATGTTGCAAGACAGCATAAAAGTTATTTTATAAGAAAAGGACGTTCAGGGATGAAAATACAGGGGGAGACATAGAGCTTATTTCCATTTGGGAACTGGGCTGGGGAGATTTAGAGAAAGATTATTACAGTGGAAGACGATGGTATGCCCAACAGTATAAAAAACAAATGGCCAGTCTTGGAGGAAACAGTGAAGAGTTTAATTTAATAAAAGTTGTATGAAACGAAGTTGAAGGTGATTGAACAGTGTTTCACTAGAACAGGAAAACTTGGTCGTTTTCCCTCTGCTCCTAAATGATTATTTTGTAACATGAAGTTTTGAAGCATCTCTACTCATTTATTTATTTTTCTCTCTCCAGTAAACAACATTTTTCAGAAGAAAAACATAAAGCAGATGAGAACCTGAGAAAGGCTAAAGAAAAAGTTAAAGTTAAAAGAGAAATTGAGGTGAGGATTTGTTTGATCAATCTTGTTATGACTTTTGAATGTGTTTTGTCTGTGTATGTATGTATGTATAACTCTAGAGTGCATTCTCAATATTGACTAAATGTCACTGTTAATGACTTTTCTAGAAACTAATTTATATGTATTGTTTTATGAGACTTAGAAGAATGAATACAGCATCACAATTCCTAGCTCTATTTGGAGGTAATTAATCAAATTGAACATTAGGAGTTCCACACTGCTGAATGAAGGTGATATCTCAAAACCTTATCTGAATTCAAAGGGTGATATGTACTCACTGTCAAATGTGTAGTAGTTGTTTTGGAGGTTTCAATTTTAAAAATAATATCAGTGTAAAAGTTTAATATATTTCCTTGAAAATCATGCTACATTCTGCTTTCTAAACATCTCTTAACTACTCATCTACCTATTTTTCCACTGTTACTGTCTTATCTCAGACACTTATTAGTTGTCTGCTGTATTACTGCATTAATATCCTACCTGGTCTCTGTACTTCTGGTTTCCATCTATCTCTATTTTTAAGACCCAATTTGTCCTCCCTGTTGTTTTTATAAAGTAGGAGATATTTCCATGAACCCATTGCATTATGAAATTCCAATGTTTGAAGATATACTAGAGTACATTTAGACCATTTTGCTTCATGTAAACTCTATTTACTTATTTCATCCAGATAGTTGCCAGACTCCTGCCATATGTAAGCTCAGTTTTAGAAATTAATTCACTTCATTAAGTCTTCTGCCTTCATGTAACTTTACCTTATTGCCTGGGCCTTATTTTCAATTATTTTTTCCTCCCTCAGTTCTAAATTAACAAGTCCTTTTAATTTTACCTCTCAAATGTCTCTCAATTAATTTTTATTCTTCAATTTTTAAAATTTAATTAATTTATTATATAAAAATGTAACTAGCTTCCCTAACTTTAGCTTCTATTCACTCAAATCTTCTACATTTGATGTAACAATCTCTCTAAAAAGTGAACATTTGCTTATGTCCTTCTCTGCTGTAAATATTTACCAATTTCCCATTGCCTAAGAATAAAATCCAAATTCCTTTCAAAAATAAAGAAAATTTTTAGTGGACTGGATTTGATCGATCTTCAAATTCTCCTTTTTGACCACTTCCCAAACTTTCTTTTCTTTGCCCAACTAATTTGGAAACTACTATACTTATGGATATACCAGAACATCTCAAAATAACATGTTCTTTCATGTCTCTATGCCTATGCATATCATAATTCCTCTTGAGGGAGCTTTTTGCCACACCGTGTGCCTGGATACATCTTCAAAGATACAACTTAGATATGGCTCTTCTTTGAACCTTCCATGAATCAATCCTTCTCTTGTGCTTGTGCATGCTTAATTCAGACCTGTAACACATCCCTTAACTTTTTATATTTCAATTACTTGTCCTCTCCTCTTGACTGGTAAAGGAGCCAAATCATATTTATAGTTATATTCCCTTAATTTAATACATTTGTTGAATACTTAATTGGATTAATATTACAAGGAAATAAATATCAAATTTTTTTGGATGATCCTAAATTCTAAAGGTTTTTTTTTTTTTTAAATCCTTAATTCCTCTCTTCCAATGTCTTTAATAAATAACACTTAAAATTTACAAATAGAGAATAGAGAACCATATCTGAACTGTCTCACTTTCATTATTTAGAAACTCTGCAGAGAATATCAGGATCGCGCGAAGAACGGAATGCTTTTCTGTACCAGAGAAAATGAGCCTATTCGTGGTCCAGATGGAAAAATGCACAGCAACTTATGTTCCATGTGCCAAGCCTTCTAGTGAGTATAGCGAGTCACAGGATTCTAGAACTTTAACAGGAGAAGGGCCCTTTTAGATAATCTAATCAAGCCAGCATGTTTTATAGATGGGGAAACTGTGGCTCAAAATGAGGAAAAGAGTTGAATACGTTACACAGAGCACATCAGTCAAAAAGTTGGATGAAGTACCTAGGGTTATTTGTTCCAAGATGCCTGATTTTTCCTAGCACTCTCTCTGTTAGCACTGGAACATTCTTAGCACTGGAACAAACATGAGTTTGTGCAAATATCAGATGCTTCCTCACTGCTCAAACTTCATATGTGAACCTGTTTTAGAAATTTATAGGCATCTCGTCCTCCATGGAGTTTAGGGCCCAAAGTTAGCAATTAACACAGAAATTGCTTAGAGTCAAAATTTCCCATGAAACATTCATAAATCCCTATAAAATTACAGAAAAAAATATTTATATAATGTGATATTTCTCAATAAGTTAGAACTGGCCATTTGTTCTCACAATTTGGAACAGTTTTCAGTTTATTTAGTTGGTTAAGTAGTTTGATTGTATTTAGAATCCGTGATTTATTGTTTTGTTTGACAATCACTTTTGATTATCCTTTAGTTAACTGTGCATACAATGGAATCTCATTCTACAAAGTGAATTTATGTTCATTTGAATTATCAATGCATGGTAGTGATTGGTTTTTTCAGCTCCCCTTGCATTTTGTCCTTTACATAAAACAGCCATGAGAAAATAATACATTTAAGTTGAATAAATAAAAACAAGGGTTAGGTGTTTTGTTGCTTTTCACTGATGATGTCATAATAAAGGGGCAAAGTTGCCCTCTCTCTCTAAGAAGGGAGGGCACAGCGGCAGTGTGAGTGTTCAGTTCCAATGAATTTCTCTTGTTTTCTCTCTCATTTAGCCAAGCAGAAGCTGAAGAAAGGAAAAAGGCTGAAGCCGAAGCAAGAAATAAAAGAGACTCTGAAAAGGCACCCTCATATGCAGTGCGTGGAATCCATCCAATTAGTCCTACTTGGCACTAAAATTTGAGCACACCTCAGAGAGCCTAATGACTGGAACATTATCCTGCAAAAATCACAAGAAAATCTTAACTCTTCAATCTAGGGATGATGTTGAGATGCATGCTATGGGAGATTGACTAGCTTTTGCTGCTTCAGAACTAACACTATATGATAAAAGAACATTCATCTGGAATCTGAAAAATTAAGTTCTAGTTCCAGTTCCATCACTTACAGACTGTCACTTTGAGCTAGTCATTAAACTTCTCATTCTTAGTTTCTAATGAATTGGGCTAATAATCCTTGTCTTTCCTATTCCAAGGATTATTGGGAAGAACTAAGAGATAAATGATAAGAATGTACTTTGTAAACTAAAACATGGTGGGAATATAAAGTTTCATCACTACCCAGGAGGGGAAAGTCTCCCCAGGTCCCCAAACTATGACAAATGTGGACTCTTGTTACAATTCTGAAAGCCTACCTAGATAATAGGGTAAATTTCAGGACTCTGAAAGAGTCATACCAGTTAAGGAAAGAATTCAGGGAATCGTTAGTCTACAATCATAATAAATCTTTAAGAAGTGCCAGCATCACCTCAGCACCCTGGGAGGTCTGGACTCAGGCCCAGCCCAGACTGGGCCCTTGACTTCTCTGAAAAAGAACGATCTATACAGAGTACCCAATGTCCAGGAAGGACATGAGAGCATGGACATGCAGATTATCCCAAATTCCAGAATGACTGCCTCAACACAGCCCAGGTCACCTCAAACAGATTGGCGATACTTTCATTTTAGGAAAGAACACCACAAACACTGGCATCAAGAAGGAGGAGCTATTAGATTTTGCTAACCACTTTCCAGAGAAATTCTACATGTGTGTTTTCAACAAATGAGTATTTTTGAAATTTCACATATGAATTGGGATAAAAATTCTTTGAGTCCACAATAAAAGTGTGATTTTTCCTCTTAAATATTATGATATTAATTTCCGTAACCTCAGATCAGTTTATCACCTCTGGTTTAGATTGAAAGTCTCCGAAATTTCCCTCTGTATTTTACCCTTCACTGTTTCCAATCATCCTCCAGAATATAGCTATAATAATGTTTTAAAATATAAACCAGATCACAATACTACTCTACTTAAAACCCACAAATAGATCGTCATCAACTACAGGATGAATGTCAATCTTTTTCTCTCTCTGTCTCTTTGTATTTGACTCTTTACTTCCATTTAGAATTTCATGTTTTGTTATATGCTGTATAGTTCCCTACCTCTGTTTCTCAGCTTATTTTATTTTGACAATCTGCTATGCTTAATTTCCCAATTTATTTTTCACCCAGGAAAATCCTATTTACTCTTTACAGTCTCACCCAAATAATTCTTGCTCCCCAAAATCTTCCCTAGTTTCCAAAATCAGATTTTGGGGGTCCCAATCTCTGAGTTCTCAGATTTTCTTGTAGCTACGTTTGCACTTACTCTATGTTGTCTAGATTATAGTAGAAATTTGTTTGTCTACTTTTCTACATTGTGACATCTTATTTTGTCTCATATATTCTCATCTCTTAGCAAACGATAAGCTTTGTTTGTTTTATTGAAATTTACATGTGAGATAAACACAGCTGAAATCTTGGTCTCGAGGAGGCATAGCATTAGTCTTGCCAATGTAGACATTTCATACTTCTACTCTGAATAACAATAAAATATATATCCAACTTCCTTTCTCTTTTTTGGCAGGAGCTGTGCAATGAATACCGCAAATTTGTGAGGAATGGAATACTCGCTTGCACTAGAGAGAACGACCCTATCCACGGCCCTGATGGGAAAATGCATGGCAACACCTGCTCCATGTGTGAGGCCTTCTTGTGAGTTGTGCTGCAGCTGGGAAATGGGAATGATTTGGTCTTTTCAACATCATTTCTGTGTTCAGTTATGAGAGGGCCACGCCAATAAGAAAATAAAATAATGAAAATATTTAGAGGAAGCTCATGATTGGACAAATCTATAAAACCATGTCCCTTGAGGATTGTTAAGACTTGGACACACTTAAGCAAGGAGAAAGTCAGTCTTTAAATATCCAAGTAGTTTTTGTTTTGAAATGTGGAAACAGGATAGTTCTAGACTGTTTCCATGGACAAAAGTGAGGCCAATGGGTGAAAGCTATGGAAAACAGGTTGTGGCTCAATACCGGGAAGAACTTTGCACAATTTGAGAATTTCAGAGATGGAATGACCCACCTTGGGTGTCAAGAATGATGTGAGTAGAGAATTCACCCGCACAATTAAAGCAAAGTCTAGATAGTCATCAGGGATACTGTAATGGCACTGGAAACTTAGAAAAACATCTCTGGATTAGCCTTTAAATCCTCAGTTTATACTTATTAGCAGTGTGTTCTTTTTAGAATCAATTTTCATATCTATAAAGTGGGGATATAACAAAAGTTTTTGCTACATGCAGTTGTGAGGAGTTAATAGTACAAATACAGTGCTAGACACATAATAATAATTTAATCATTTATTAACTATAATTATTAAATGATATTTGAGGTCACTTTCAGTCTGGAGCTTCTATGATTCTTACCAGTTCCTTTTTAAATCACTCTTTTTCAGCCAAACGGAAGAAGAGGAAAAGAAAAAGAAGGAAGGTGATTCAAGAGATAAAAGACCATCTGAGACTACAACTTCATTTGAGGTGAGTGGAATTTATTGATGTGATGGATTGCATTGATTGTTTTTCTCATGTTGAAGCATCCCTGCATACCTGGCATAAATCCCACTTGATCATGATGAATTATTTTTTTGGTATGTTGCTGAATTCTATTGGCTAGAATTTTTTTGAGGATTTTTGTGTCAATGTTCGTGAGGGATATTGGTCTGTAATTTTCTTTTCTTGTAGTGTCTTTACCTGGTTCTGCTATCAGGGTTATGCTGGCTTTATAGAACGAGTTTGGGAGTATTCCATCCTTTTCTGTGCTCCGAAATACCTTCAGTAGTAGTGGTGTTAACTCTTCTCTGAAAGATAGGTAGAATTCTCCAGTGAACTCATCCTGGCCAGGGCTTTTTTTTGTTGGGAGTTTTTTAATTACCTTTTCAATCTCTTCTTTTGTTATGGGTTTATTTAGTTGTTCTACCTCTGTTTGTGTTAGTTTAGGTAGGTAGTGAGTTTCTAGAGATTTGTCCATTTCCTCTAGGTTTTCAGATTTGTTAGAGTACAATTTTTCATAGTATTCTGTTATAATTCTTTTAATTTCAGTTGGGTCTGTTGTGATATCACCCATCTCATTTCTTATATGGGTTATCTGCTTCCTCTCCTGTTTTTCTTTTGTCAGTTTGGCCAGTGGTTTCTCAATTTTGTTGATCTTTTCAAAGAACCAGGTTTTGGTCTTGTTAACTCTTTCAACTGTTTTTCTATTCTCTATTTCATTTACTTCTGCTCTAATTCTTATAATTTCCTGTCTTCTGGCTCCTGAGGCCTTCTTTTGCTGCTCTCTTTCTGCTTGTTCGAGTTGTAAGGTACATGTTTTGATTATGGCCCTTTCTTCTTTTTGGATGTGTGCGTTTATTGCTATAAACTGACCTCTGAGCACTGCTTTTGCTGTGTCCCAAAGATTCTGGTAGGATGTGTTTTAAGGTGAGTGGAACTTATTGAAAGGAGCCCTGGGGGTACAGTGATTAAGCACTTGCTGCTGCCTGAAAGTTGATGGTTTGAACACACCAGCCACTCCCCAGGAGAACGATGTGGGGATCTGCTTTCGTAAAGATTTAAAACCTTGGAAACCCTATAGGGCAGTCTACTCTGCCCCATAGGGTTACTATGAGTCGGAATCAACTCGATGTCAATGGATTTGGTTTTTTGTTTTTGGACCTTATTGAACAAGTCAGGGGTATATGTACCTGGGGATCCATAGATGGCATTCAGGGAACCGATAAACTCCCTGAAGTTATATGAAACATTTCTACAGTTTGTATTTGTGTGTTTTTGGGTGTGTATGTTCACAGTACATATATGACCATTTCTGGGTTGAAGGTTCATACTTAAAAATATCCATATCTTCAAAGTTAAAACTCATTCTAAAATAAGCCAATTGCTGACCTCCATTTAAGGAGAGGGAAAAAAAGCCCTTTAATATCTTCAACTACTTTTTGCAGTCTGATCTAATCTATGTTTAACACCTCCAATTTCCTTCCTCAATTTCACAGGAGTTGTGCAGTGAATATCGCAAATTTATGAAGAATGGACGGCTTCTCTGCACTAGAGAGAATGACCCCATCCAGGGCCCAGATGGGAAAATGCATGGGAATACTTGTTTCATGTGTGAAGCCCTCTTGTAAGTAGAGCTGCAGCCATAGTGCTTCTGATGTAGTGAGGAGAGGGAACTGCTATGGGAAGTTTTCAAACAATGATAAATAATAATACATTTTCCTCATGAGTGTAGCGTTCAGTTCTGGGCATCACATTTAAAGGCATTAAAAACAAACAAACAAACAAAACAGAAAAAATAACAACAAAAAAGCAAATGAAGGGCTTTCAGATGGTAACTACTGAGATGGTAAAAAACAAACAACAATAAAAAATTCAGAATAATTCTTCTAGGACATTTCAGAAGGAACTCTGAGTCTTTTACTTAGAGAATACTTCATGATAATCACCCAAATGCTTTTAGTTTTCTGAAGGATTATCAGCTGGATTATGAAATAGATAAAATTTATATATAAAACATGAATATGGTGCACGGCAAAATTTATGGGATTTTTTTCCAGTTCACTATTTTTCTTCCTACTAATCTTTGTGACCTCAAGGAATAGAATTAAAGTGAATGGGAGATATAGGAAGACAGATTTGGGCTCAACACGAAGAGGAACTTCGTAATAGAGTAGAGAAAGGCTGCTTCAAGAATGCTGATTTTATTCCATACGAGTTGTTGTTAGGTGCCATGGAGTCAGTTCTGAATAGCGACCCTGTGTTCAACTGAAGGAAACACTGCCCTGTCCTGGGCCATCCTCACAATTTTTTCTATGTTTGAGTTCATTGTTGCAGCGACTGTGTCAATCCATCTCGTCAAGGGTCTTCCTCTTTTTCACTGACCCTCTACTTTACCAAGGAGTATATCCATAGGAGTTGGATGCCCATTTATAGGGGGCACAAAGTATGATGTTAGAATAGTTGGTATGATCCAAATCAAACCAAACTTGTTGCTGTCAAGTTGATTTTGACTCATAGTGACCCTATAGGACAGAGTAGAGCTGCCCCCATAGGGTTTCCAAAGAGTGGCTGGTGGATTCAAACTGCTGACCTTTTGGTTAGTAACCGAGCTCTTAACCACTGTGCCACAGGGCTCCAGATGATATAATATGTTTCCTCAAATAAGAGTCTATGATTTTTCTGATCTGTGACCAAAGAACTATCCCAGTTTATTTTCTGTGTGCCTGGAATATATGAAAGATTTCAGTTATTTAGTCTTTCCTGATTAAAAAAAAAAAAAAGACTAAACTCGTTGCTGTCGAGTTGATTCTGACTCATAGCGACTATTTCCTGACAGAGAGCGATATAAGTCAGCAGATTTCTCTCATAAAATTTGAGCCATGGAAGCACTGAAAATCTATTTGATAGAAGGCAAGATGATGACAATATAATCATTATAACCGAAACATTAATTAAATGCACATAATCACCCGGTACTTGTTAAGAGCTTTACTCTTACCTCTTTCAGTCTTTACAACAACCATAAGAAGTAGGCTCTATGTTATCACAAGTTACAGAGGAAAAAAGCTAAGGCCAAGAGATGTTGAGAATGATGGAAATGTCAGTACAGGATATATGCCATATGGATGAAAAAATAATAATGTATTTCTCACTGTAGGTGCAGGCAGGATATAATAATTTATCAAGGCCTTTATGAGCTTCTTGTAATTCTTTCTGCCTGTGTTTAAGGCTTGTTTCAGTCTGTTTTTCTTTACCTTTACATGAATCTTTCAGTCACAGAAAATAATTCTGCCACCTAGTGGTCAGCTCTGTTCCTCCTCTGATAATTCCCCGTTACGGAAGGAAAATGCCTCTTAGATTTTTTAGTCAATTTAGATTTGTGGTAAAGTTTAAATCAGTTTCCATGTTTTAAATTAAAAAAAAGAGGAAAAACTCACAATTTTTGGAGATATTTCTGTAAGTTTCTCCTATCAGTATAAAAATTCTTTATCAAAAAAGAAATAAAGTGTTGTTGCTTCATATTTTAGAGATGTTGTCAAAGGATATTGACTTTCTTGCGAACCAGTCTTCCCTCCAGAGGTGCTTCTCGCACACCTTCACATGGAGTTACTTGAGAATAGTCAAATCAATGAATGATCAACCTATGAATGCTAAGGATATACTCTATTAAGATCCATTCTTCCTCCTCTTTATTCTTCTTCCTCTTCTCTCTGTTCCTTATAGTCAACAAGAAGAAATAGCAAGAAAGTCTTTTCATTTTTCTTGAAATTTTAATTTGATTGATGAGCAAGTAGATTAGAACATGCTAAAACATTTTTATAAATTATTTAATGATTTTTTATGCAATGTGATTGATTTTTTGTGGTGTAGATCCAATTACGCTATAGACCCAGGCCACTAAACTCTATACGCAAGCCTGTTAGTCATCCAAAACGTCTAAGAGCTATCACTCTATCACTCGTTCTACCATAGGTCTACTTTGGGAGGGTTCACTTTTTATGATGATGATGGTGGTGATGATATCAATCACTTAAATAGGTTTACTGATTAACTGAGGAATTTACTTGTGCATACCGTTCTCTTGAGGTGGGTATACCATTCTAGTTTATTACTCAATAAAATTACAAACGACTGTGGGTGGATCTTTGAGGCTGCTTGAGAATGATCAAAAAGATGAATGATCAACCTGTGAATGTTAAGGATCTACTCCATTAAGATCCGTTTCTTCTTCTCTCCCCTCCCCACCTCCTATAGTCAACAACAAGAAAGAGCAAGAGCAAAGGCTAAAAGAGACGCTGCAAAGGTAATTTTCCCAGAGATGCTGATGCTATGCCCTGACGTATTTTTCTTTACAAAAGCATTTTTGATATCTCGTTATCATAAGAGTTTTCCTGCTCATTTTTCATGCCTGAAATGAATAAAGAAAACTTTTAATCTGAAAAAATGATCTTGATTAGAAGTTTCCAGAGTACCAACTTTATGTCATGATTATTTAAATTTTGAGGTTAATTTAATAAAAAATGGAGTTAACTCTTTGTAAGTGTATTTCCCATATTTAGTAGTTTTTCTTAGATTTCTCTTTTCACTCACAGATCATTAATATTAATTTTTTTCAATTTTCTAATTTCTATTTATGCCATTCACACCTTTATTATTTCAAATAGAGAGTACAAGATTCCTATCATTCACAGTAGCCCGATTTAAAAAAAAAAAAATTCACCTATACTATATCTGATCTTTGACACCACTCAAGCATGGAGGAAGCACTAGCAATAGTTTTCTCACCCCCAATTAGCATAGCTAAGAAAGCCCCCTGACTTTTCAATTTTTTTAACCCTCCATGCTTTTATAATTTATAATTTTACAGGTTGCCCTGCAAAATCTGTGTGTGAATGCTGAGTAGCTCTTATGAAATTGTCATATATGAGTTTCATCTTTTTTTAAAAAAATAAAATTTTATTGTGTTTTCCATGAAGGTTTACAAGATTTATATTTATTAACAACAGCTGCAAAGAATACAAATCTATCATTATTTGGGAAAAGTTGACACAGTTAAAAAGTTTGCCTTTAAACTGATTCACTTTCTCAATGACTGTTTCTGTTAGCTGGCACCATTTTTTTATTGATAATTTAGAATCGAAAATTTGTGTCATCCATCATATCTCCTCAGTTGCCAAGTCCTTTTAGGTTTTCTAAATCGTCCTAACACATTCCTCTACTCCACCCCTATTGTTACTCTTGGTTGAAGGCCAGCATCACCCATTCCTGGACTTTATCAACACACTGCCAGATCCCTTAAGCATTGTTTTGTTAATCATAACGTTTGAGTCAATCATCTTGCTAGTCTATGGATATTTTGGGGCCAGCCTGAGTAAGTACTTTTCCTGGGAGCATGCTGTGAGAGGAAGAGAGGGGAGAAGAAGGGAGCTCTCAGGCTTCCTGAAGCATTCTGGCTAGCTGACTTTTGAGAGTCAGAATGAACAACAAAAATTGAGTCCAGCCTGCATCCTGAGCGGAAGCCTCTCCTTATACCAAGCACTTTGATTTCTGGGGCTTCTACACAGAAGGAAAGATGCAGGAAAGATAGAAAGCCGTTCTGAGCAAATATTTTCTTTGTTTTTCAGGACCTCTGCAGCGAATTTCGGGACAAAGTGAAAAATGGGATGCTCGTATGTACCTGGGAGAATGATCCTGTCTTTGGCCCAGATGGAAGAATGCATGGAAATAAGTGTGCTATGTGTGCAAGTGTGTTGTGAGTATCTGTCCTCCTCTCTCCCACTAAATTTTTTTATTATTTAACATTCCTGAGTCTCAGATTCTTCGTAAATGTGTAGAATACATATCATGAGTATATGCTGGATAATTTAAAAATCATTTGGACAAGACTTTAAGAAATATTGAATCCTATAGTGACAATGTTATCATCTATTCAGTTATCCTTCTATCTTCTAATTAAGTCAAGGGAAACATCTCAATTTAATATTTGATGTTTGAAGTCTGATGATCAGGATTAGATGATCCCTTAGTCTCTTTTCCATCCCTGACATTTTATGGTTTTATGAATGTATTCAGATATGGGTTATATCAGTCAGTGTTCTACAGAGCCAATAGGATGGATATATATATATACATATGTATATGTACGTATAGGTATATATATATATACACACATATGTATATGGAGAGAGAGAGAAAATGACAGACACGGAGAGAGACAAAAACAGAAAAGCAAAGAGACTGATATATTTTAAGGGATTGGCTCATGCAATTGTGCTGGTTGGCAAATCTAAAATCCATAGGGCAGATCAGCATGCTGGAAACTCAGCAGGATGTCCATGTTGCATTCTTGAGGCAGAATTCCTTCTTTTTCCAGGAAACCTCACCTTTTGCTCTTTAAGCCTTCAACTGATTGAATAAGTCCCACCCACCTCATGGAGGGTAATTTGTTTTTCTTAATTGATTGTAAATGTTAATCACATCAAAATACCTTCATAGCAATATATGTGTTTGACCAAACAGCTGGACACCATAGCCTAGCCAAGTTGACACATAAAATTAACCATCACCTAGGTTAAGGAAAAGCCAACTGGACAGAGGTCTATAGTGCCGATATATAAAGAATGTTAAAATAACCTGAAGAATGGAATGGAGAGGATTGTAGTTACCCTTTCAGATATATCACTGTATATAAGTGAAACAAATACTTGATAAGTTTTTTTGGAGTAGAGAATGAAACCCATAAGAGGCAGGCTCATGTAACAGTTGTTTACTGAATGGCTTCTCTTTAAACCAGGTCCTGGGTCTTCTATGCTTTTGTTTTACTGAGCAGTGTGGGTAAGGCTGGGGCCAAAGCTCCATTGCATGGGACAGTATAGCAGAAGTTGATTATTACCACTTCTGATTCTCCTCCATTTTAGTCTCCACCTAGCCCCCTTCCAAGCCTCATCCTGAAATAAATGTTGAAAATATATTTAAATTATATCTGGCTAGAGGGGTGCAAAGTTATGCTGCCTGTTAGTTTTCACATGCCTTGACCCAAACTTAAGTACGTCCATAGTTTCTCGAAAGAAGAGCTTGTCAGAGTAAGACAGCAGAATATATTGTGTCCTGAGATTCAAGAAATCAAGATTCTTCTCTCACCTAATTGATTGGCTGGTGCTATTAAAATGACAAGATATCATATATGCCAAGGATTTTTCCCACTCTTGATATTCTACATGGCAAGAATGCCAGAATCTCAGGTTCATGATCTCCCTAAAAAAAATTAGCTGTTGAACCATCCTGGACTTGAATCATTATTGCACTCCAAAACATAAATTTTTACTTGAACTTTAATTCCATTAAATTAATATTTAATAATTTTATTGTAAACGATTTTACTAAATGATTTATTGTGAGTACAGGCCCATAGTATCGTTTAGTATCATCCTTTGCTTTCATCATTGATAAGGTAGTTGTTTAGATAGGAAAAGTTTTATTATTAAAGAAACCAAGGCTATTGTAGCATCTTTTAGATCATTGATCTAAAAATTACTGACCTACAGAGGACCACATACCAAAACCAAAACCAAACAAAAAGCATGCTAGTCTTATTTATTTTTTTAAAGGGGGATTGTAAATTACTGAATTTATCTGCATTTATTGGCCAAAGTGATAGCAGTTTTTATACTGGGTAATTTGTACTGAATACTGGATCCGGATATGTATGTAATATGTACATATGGAATATAAGGAAAGAAGATTCTCATTTCTTCTTAAAGCATACTATGAAAGAGAATGGGGACTTGTATTCAGCTTGTATCTTCTTTTTCTATTGCAGAAAATCTGAAGTAGATGAGAAGAAAAATAACGAGAAGGAAGAAAAGGAAAAACTTGAGGCTGAAAACGTTAAGATAGAAGCAGTACAGGTAGTTGTTTCAGATCAGCACATCCTAGCAAATGTTCAGTGATCTTTTTCTCTATGCAAGACTCCTACTCACTCCTCCTCATCCCAGGGGCCTTACCAACTTTGCAAACTGAGAACATGTATTTTCATCGTCATAAATAATACGACCTCCTCTTCCGTATTCAATTTAGTAACTTCAGATCTAATCTAGTTGCTTTGGAATTAGATAGGAGCTCAATTACTCTTTTCTCCCACTGACCATGTGAATTACACTATCCCAGGAAAGAAGTGTATACAGATTGTCATCTCGTTGCCAGAACGTAAACCAAGAGAGGGAGATGTTCAAATTTTTCTCCATACTTCGTTGTATAAGGGATGCTTAGTTAAAACAAAATCTAGGTTTTAGTCCAAATCTAGTCCCAGTTCTGTGACATTTTTGGGAAAGTGAGTTAAGAACACCTCTGAATCCTGGGTTCCCATTCTGTAAAATTTCACATGATGATGATGATGATGGTGGTGGTGGTGGTAATGGTGAAAGCTATTGATTATTTAGTTGCTATTGTATGCCAGATGTTGTAAACATTTTGTAACTGATCTTTGTTGTAAACATGCAAGGTGTACATTATTATCCATATTCTATAGATGAGGACTCAGAAGCTCAGAAAACAAGTTTTGAAACGTATATACTTAGTAATTTGACAGCTAGCAATTGAACCACAAGTTCTGGCTTCAAAGCCCATGATGCCCCCACTGCCCCTTGGAATATTTCTGCAGGCTGTGTCTCAGGTCTTCATTACGCCTTTCTTTTATTCTTTTCTAAGTTGGAAAACTTCATTTCTGAATGCTCTCTGTGCTCTCATCTTTGCCCCATACAGTCTATTCTCAACTATGAAGCCAAAGTAATTATTTAAAAACATCGGGCAGATTATGTCACCTAGTAGGTTTTCATCTCACTCAGAGTAAGAACCAAGGTCCTTCTCGTGGCTTACAATACCTCACCTGCTCTATACTTTTCAACATTCAGACCTCATTTTCTGCTATTGTACCCATCACTCCCCTATGCCTGCCACAGTGGCCACCTTGTTTCTTCTCGAACATGCGAAGCATACTTTTCATGGCCACCCATGATGTTAAAAACTAGCAATCTGAACTCAGACTGTTAGGATTCAAATCTTGGCTCCATCCCCTACCAGTAAGGTTAGACAGTTAACTTTTTTGTGTCTAAGTTTCATCATTTATAAAATAATTAAAAATATTATGTCTGTTATTTGCATGAAGACCCAAGGAACTCATCCATATGCAATGGCACAGCACAGTGCCTCATATATCTTAAGAACTCAGTGTGTACTCAATGCATCCACTGTTTTTGGACATTATTTCATAGTTACACATGTTTAGTTATCTGATTTTGAATCTTCCCTTCTTTTGGCAGAAGCTGTGCAGTGAATACCGCAACTATGTAAGGAATGGGCAGCTCGTATGTACCAGAGAGAACAACCCCATCGAGGGTCCAGATGGGAAAATTCATAGCAATACTTGCTCCATGTGTGAGGCCTTCTTGTGAGTAGTGCTGTAGTCACTGCTACTGCTGAAAATAGGAGAAGGCAGGCCTGCGGTGGGTGAGGGAGTGATATTGAAGTTTTCCCCAAAGAGGTTTTCTCAAGGAAGTAGATCATGAAGGCTGTCCTTATATTGAGTTCAGCAGAGTTGCTATTTTAAGCCACATACTTACAGCATTTCTCTTAGTGTTCTTACTGTTCAGAAAGGTACTTGGATTACCATTAAGGGAGCACCATTTGCTAAGGGAAAATTCTCCCAGAGTTAATGGCATAAAAAACTGCAAATTCTGTCCTCTGCATATGTAGGTCACTGTTACGGATAATCCAAAAATGTAATCATCGGATGCTAACAAATGGAAATCTGTTAACAACTAGACATGGTGGTCAATATTTTTAAATATCTCAATTGTTTTTCTGGGGAGAGGGACAAAAATTAAAAAAAAAAAAAAAACAGCCTGATTCCATCCAGTCAACTCTGACTCGTGGTGACCCCATGTGTTACAGAGTAGAACTGGGCTCCATAGAGTTTTCTTGCCTATAGTCATTATGGAAGCAGATTGCCAGGCCTTTCATTCGCAATGCCTCTAGGTGGTTCTAACCATCAACTTTTCATGTTTAGTAGCCAAAAGCAAACTGTTTGTGCCACTCAGGGATCTGGGGAGAAGGATAATACCTCGTATTTTCCAAGATAAACATAGTAGTAAAAATTTATTTACTGATCTGCTGTGGCATATTTGTCTTTTCTTAAAGCAACATTAAAAACAAGAACACTACGAAGTGGTGTGCATTTACGCTTCTACTCCAAAGCTAAGTTTGTAGAAGTATAGGAGTAATGGAATATTTCTATCTAGAGAGATTTCCCCTTTATAATAATACATATTGGGTGCTAGGAATAATCATCTTTTTTCCCTCTCTTGCAGCCGGCAAGAAGAAAAAGAAAAAGAAGTTAAAGCCAGAGCAATAGCTAAAAGAGCAGCTGAAAAGGTAGCTGTCCTGGAATACTGATACATTATGAAAGGATGAGGTTTGCAGTTTCTCTGTAAAAATAACTCGGAATTATTGACGGCCTTTTTGAACCTATCCAGTGGCTCCACAAGAGGAAGACCTGGCGATCTACTTCCGTAAAGATTACAACCAAGAAAATCCCTATGGGACAGTTCTGTTCTGTCACATGGGGTTCCTTTGAGTCAAAAATCAACTTGGACAGCACCTAACAACAATAGCTCTGAGGGAACTCAGGGTTTATTTAGTTTGGGGGGGGGGGTGACAAACTTTCCTTAAAGGTCCAGATAGTAAATATTTTAGACTTTGAGGCTATACTGTCTCTGGTGCAACTATTCATCCCTACTGTTGTAACTGTAAAGCAACCATAGATAATATGCAAATGAATGGATGTGGCTGTGCTCCAATAAAACTTTATATACAAAAACAGGTGGTAGTCTGGATTTTTCCCACAGGCTGTAGTTTGTAGACTCCTGATTTAATCCTTCCCACGTTTTAAAACTGAGAAGATATAAAGTCCAGAGAAGATAGTTTGTCTGTATTAACCAATGTGATATCAATTTCCTTCTGGTGCCAGTTTTTGGGGGAAAAATAAAGAAAATAAATATCCCCAAATAATATTTTCTTGGGTGCAAAAATGCTGACTCCAGATAGATTATTCCAGACTTTGGTTTATTGATTCAAAGACTACTGATATTAAAAATAATCTCTAAAGAAGTATCACATTCTGTACAGTTGTATTTCACACAATTGTACATCTGAATTAAAAATAATACGAGTAGTTCATATGAAAAAATATTTTTAAATATATCAAGAAAAAATGCTTTGGTAAGGGACAATTTCTAATTTCACACTGGTTCATATAGACAAACTATCTTCTTATACCACATTTCTTTTGCTACCTATGACTAGAATTAGGGGTTCTGGCAGATCTTGAAGCAGAGCTAGGAGAAAAATTCATTCTGTAGTCCACATTGAGTTTCGGCTTGGCAAACAAACTTAGAAGGCATGCATTATTCGCATAAAAATACAGCATACTAGTATTCAGTATATGTCCTGAATTTTTGTGAGAATAAGGTGAGATAACATAGGTATATAATTTAGCACCATGACTGATTTCTACCCAGCACTCAGTAAATGTTTTATGATGAACTGAACAAGAATAAGCAAATCACTTAGGATCATAGGGTTTATTACTGATGGAAATGAGGATTGAATTCGATTTTTTTTTTTTTTCTGAAACCGTTAGTAGTAGTCCACATTGAGTTTCAGCTTGAACTAACGGTTTCAGAAAAAAAAAAAAAAAATCAAATTCAATCCTCATTTCCATCAGTAATAAACCCTATGATCCTAAGTGATTTGCTTATTCTTGTTCAGTTCATCATAAAACATTTACTGAGTGCTGGGTAGAAATCAGTCATGGTGCTAAATTATATACCTATGTTATCTCACCTTATTCTCACAAAAATTCAGGACATATATTGACTACTAGTATGCTGTATTTTTATGCGAATAATGCATGTCTTCTAAGTTTGTTTGCCAACCTCTCCCTCTCCCAGTGAGGTGTTTTTGTAAGTGTGCTATGCTAATTGTTTTACAGCAACGTGTAAGAAAAAAAATGGCTTAGTGGCACTTCTGAAAATACCTTGTGGGAGGACGGAGTGGTTGGCAAACAAACCTAGAAGACCTGTGTTATTTGTGTAAAAATACGGTATTGGCCGTTATTATTTTAGCCATGTGAAATAGATTCTGAATTTTTTAGAAAAGGAGAAGAATCCAGAATGAGAAATGGTGTTGGAATCATGCCATATACAGAATGACTGAAGTATCTGCAGGTATTTAGAACTTGAGAGAGAACATAGGGAGGTATGGAAGAAAGACAAGAAAAATCTTCCCAAATATAAGAAAGACTTCCATGTGAAAGAAGAAAAATATCCTCTGTTTCTCTGGGAGAAGTAAAATACTTCAAATTTGTTTGCTGGTCTGAACAAATGTAATCTTCTATTTTTGATGACAATTTATAAAAGTAAACCCTAAGAATAGGGATCCTATAAGAGTTATAATTATTTTCTAGGGTTTCCCAAAAGTAGCACTACGATTAACTAGTTGCTGTTGAGTCAGTCCCAACCCATGGCAACCCCATGTGTGTCAGAGTAGAATTGTGCTCCACAGAGTTTTCAGTGGCTATTTTTTAGAAATATATTTCCAGGTCTTTCTTCTGAGGCACCTCTGGGTACCTCGAATCTCCAACCTTTCGGTTATCAGCCAAGTGCATTAATTGTTTACACCAACAAGGACTCCAACACTACAACTAGTTTGTGGAAATATTTTTTAAACTTTTTGGAATGAACTGTCTGGGAAGGTAATGAATTTCTTCATAGCCAGTGATTTCTTGGCAGGCATGATGTAAAGGAGTTGAGATATATGGTATGGGTAGTTGGACCAAATGAGCTTAGAGGTTCTATCCACACCTGAAGTTCTTTGATTCTCTGACATGTGAAGTGTTTTTTATTTGCATGTTTGTTTTGTTTTATTTTGACATTATCATGAAATAGAGATAGACAATAAATCCGCAGGTAAGGGCTGTGGACCAGTCCCTAGAGAGCCCAGTTTATTAAGAGAGTCTTGCTTGTGTGTGAATCCAGGTTCAGTCTGTATTTTGGGGCTAAATCTCAAGAAAAAGAAACACAAAACTCTTTTCAAGTTCTGTGTGTTTAGTAGGAATTAGATAATGCAAAAAAAAAAAAAAATCTTCAGGGTTTTTTTTTTTTTTCTCTCTTCCTTTTAGCACTTAGTAGAAACTCAACAAACTTAATTTCCAGGAAAATACCCAAACAGTTGACTTTTCTTCTTCTTTTAGGATATATGTAGTGAATTTCGGAGTCTTTTGCAAAATGGAAGTATTTTCTGCACACGAGAAAATGATCCTGTGCTTGGCCCAGATGGCAAGACCCATGGCAACAAGTGTGCCATGTGTAAAGAAATCTTGTGAGTGCACACATGAAGCCCTGCTGTGGCTGGCAGAGTTGGGGAGGAAAAGAGCTGGGCAGATAATGCATATTTCCTTACATATAAAAAAAAAAAATGTAATCTGTAAAGCATTTTTTTAGACAAATCCTTCTTTTAAAAGGTCAAGGTTCATAGTTCTAGAAATAGATAAAGTATTAGTAGGTTATTACATTCTCTAATAGTTCTAGGGTAAAGACTAACAATAGATCACAGCATTTTCCTGCATAAAATTCTAAACCCTTTGCTGTCAAATGGATCCTTCTCTGGATTATTTTGGAATTCTCATTGGGAAAAAAAACCAATTTTATTGCCAATCTAACTTGTCTACCTAAATTTTGAGACTCTCATCCTTTCAGTAAAATGAAAGTTTGGAAGGATACATCAAATATTTAAGACATTCAACAGCCTTTTTGCTGAACATCTCAAATGTATAATCTGTATAATAACTATACAATGATGAATGAAACAGACACTCTTCTCAGAGCTCATACAGTCCATCAGAGATTAGATATGTACATAAACCAATATAATGCAAAGGAAGAATTGCTAAATGCAAAATGATGTATACAAAGAGTTATGGTACTTCAGGGAAGGGATAGTTAATAGTTTTATGGAGGGATAGAACTGGACCTTTCAATTTGGATAGGATGTGACATGACAGGGAAGTATAAGTGAAGGAGACAGGAAAAGCATAAATGAAGATCTAAAATTAAGAAAGCTGTAGCCATACACAGCAAAGAGCAAGTCATTTAGTTTATTTAGAATTCTCCAGCTTTACCAGCTTTGAATTCCAGGCCAAGGATTCTGAAGTAAATTCTCTATGTATTGGAAAGCTGCTAACATTTTTACAGGTGGGAGAGCAATTAGCATAAATGTCCTTCTAAAGGAGGAAGGGACTAAAATTCAGAATGCTACTGCTGTTGTGGGGATTTGCGGTAATCCAATGAGAAATACCTGGAGCAACGGAAGTAGGCAAGCGGGATAGAAGGTAGGTGGATCAAGATGGGTGATATTGTGGAGGTGAAATCAATGCTATGTGACAACAGCTGTGTGAGCTGAAGGAGCAGAAGCAGTTAGATACGACTCCAAAGTTTTGTTCTTTGAAAGAGAATCCAGAAGAAAAAATACATTTGGCATACAAGAGAATTATTTTTGGGCCTCTTGAATATGAAGTACTTGTGAGAAATTCAGCTAGTGATGTCCAGTGAACATTTATGAAATGCTAATTAATTGCTCACATTGTATTGCACATGGTTACATATAGGCTGATCTTCACCTTCTGCAATGAGTGCTCTTCCATGCAGAGAACTTCACATAATTGTAAGAGAAGAGGGCCTGCAGCATAATACATGTTCGACAAAGGCTGATAAATTCCTGGACAAATCTAATTTGGTCATATGACAAGAAACTCATAGAAATGCACTCCACTCCCTCTAATCTATTATTCTCTACTCCCCACTTTCTGATTTCCAGCCAGAAAGAAGATGAGGAAAGAAAGAGGAAAGAAGAGGAAGGTCAGAGAACTGTGTCAGGATATGGTCCCAATGGTGGTGGTGGTGGAGGTGGAAAATCTCAGGTGAGAACAACCGCCAGTTTCTTAACCAGAGTTGGCTCAACACATTGGCAATGAGACTATGACATGGCCTATGGTAAAGGTGAATGCATTTAGTAACCCATTGCCATCGAGTTGATTCTGACTCATAGCGACCCTATAGAACAGAGTAGGACTGCCCCATAGGGTTTCCAAGGAGCAGCTGGTGGATTCAAACTGCCAACCTTTTGGTTAGCAGCTGAGATTTTAACTGCTTAGCCACCAGGGCTCCATAATGTGTTTAGTGCTCAGGTTAAAAGCATCCTTGGAAGAACAGAGGCATTTCCCCATTAATGCTGCAGGTAAGCTCCACAGGTAGACCCCCATTTACAACCGGGTTACGTTACAGGACTACTCCGTCGAAAGTCGGTTCTGATATAAATCAAAAACCTCATTTTTTTTCTTTTTTTTTTTTAGTTTTCATTATTATTGCCTTTTATTATCAGCATCTTTATAAATCCAATCTTCATTTGTCTTTGGGGATTGGAAACATTACAGCTGACAATGATAACATCAGCAAATTACATCCTGCAACACTGTATGTAGTACATATTACTAATAATAAGATGTACCAAAAAACAACTGGTGGTGCCAAGTGCGGTTCATCATAACTCGAATATGTTGTAAGTCAGAGACTACCTGTAATTCTTAGGTTCTCTAGGGCTCATTTTGTCTTCTTTAAACCTGGAGATAATTATTAACATGATTATCTAATCCCAATCTCCTAACTCCCTTTACAGTTATCTAGCCCTCATGCCAATAATTGGTCTCTCCCACATGTTCTTCATTTTCTTTCATTATTCTCTTTTGTCCTGAATGCAGCCGCCTTTGTGAGGTATTTTTTCTGTTAATCCAAGGCAGCATAGTATGGTGAAAGAGCATAGTGTTTGGAGTCAGTTTATGGTATGATCCCTCCTCTACCACTTATGAGTTGTGAAGCCTTGAATAAGTTGCTTCATCTCCCTGAACTCTATTTTCTTTTATCTAGCAGTACTCATATAGGGATAAAATAAAATAATTTAGGCAAGTGCATGAATATTTCCCAAGACACTTTTAAATGTCAGCATGACAAAGTTGCCTGTAAGCTCACTCCCTGGGTATATGAACACAGTTTGATAGGTTTATAGCAACCTTATTTCTCTTCCTATGATCTTGGGATTATCAAGACTGTCTCTTTGCTTCCCCATCTGATACACACCCTATATTTGCTCTTGATAAACTCTGACCTTTCTGTTTTCCATCTTTTCTGCTTTAGGAGGCTGAGTTCTCACTCTCAAGGGCTGCATCTGTTAAGACATTCGTCTATCTTCTCCATAATTTGTTCAAGCCTGTCTTCCTTGACACCTCCTTTGTATAACTTTGTACTTCTACCCAGCATTTCTCTCTCCTTTTTATCTACATCATAGGTCAGGAAACTTTTTTTGTAAAGGGCCAAGTAGTAAATATTTCAGCCTTTGTGGGTCAGATGGTCTCTGTTGCAACTATCCAACTCTGCCAGTGTATCAAGAAAACAGCCACAAATACTATATAAATGAAAGGGTGAGGTTGTGTTTCAATAAAACTTTATATATAAAAAAAGGCAGCAGGCCCTTGTTCTATGCTATTACATCCCAGCCAACTTTATAATTTCCCTGTATAAAACCTTAAAAGCAACATTAGTAGCCATGACATCTGGCCTCCTATAATTAGAATATGAATGATTCTAGCCTCTCTTCTTAGGTGGGTAGCAACCCTAGATATTATATTCTTTATAAGGGGAGGTAGATAAGATTTTCACTCAAATTATTAACAAATTTAATAAGAAATCAACAGACCAAGTAATCCAGGAGGCCTGTTCTCTTCTCCCCTTTCAGGACCAATGTGCTGAATACCGGGAAAAAATGGAAAATGGAAAACTCAATTGTACTCGGGAGAGTGATCCTGTATGTGGTGCTGATGGAAAATCATACAATAAATGTACCACGTGTAAAGAAATACTGTAAGTACTGCTGTCAACAGGCAAGTCTAAAAGATAATCACACACTTATCAATGACTATGTCTCATTTGTTTATGACTCCCTCTATAAAAATTAAACCTCTGGTTAATTCCCAACTATTCTCTCTTTCTCTTGAAACACGTAAGGGGCAATGAACCCCAAAGGCAGCTGATCAAGTGGCTGATTCCTACTCTATTTTCCAATGTAAGTCTGTGACCTCTAAGTATTGTCATAGTAGATAATTGTTCTTTAGAACACATTATGGCTGCATCCTAGGAATACTCTGCTATGGTCATTTTGAATAGTTGGTCAGCACAGCTTGAAAGAGCTGTTTTCTTTTAGTTATATGTATGAGACACACTTATTGTGTATTCCAGGGCCTGTTTCTTCTATTTATTTTCCCTTGATGAATGGCAGTGAATTGGAGTGGTTTATGATCCAGCTCAGCAACTTTTGATTTGTTTTACTGCATGAAATAACATAATGTCTTAGTCCCATTTATAAATTGAGGGAGTTTTCTAGGTGACCTTGAAAGGTCCTTGTAGTTCTAAAACTCAATGCCTCTGTTATGACATTTAATAGAAATGTACATAATACTCTTCTCCCTACCACCTATATACATTCTTCACCACTCTCCCTCGCACCATGAAAGGAAGAAAGAAAGAAAGAAAAGAGAAAGAAAAACAAATGAGATTGTGGTAGTAAAGGGCACGTGAAAAAATCAAATCCAAATGCTGCATTTTATATATGAGAAAAACGAAGGACCAGAGTGAGTACTTGGTTTACTGAAGGTCTCATAGGGAGTAATCTTCAGAGGCAAAATTAAGTATCAATCTAGTATTTATTCTACATTATTAAAATTCTTTAATAGAAGCAAGATGGCAGAGTGGTTCAATGCCAGGGTTTTGGTATCAGATGGCTATTTCAGTTCTATGTCCTTGTTGTTGATGTTGTTAGGTGCCATTGTGTTGGTTTCAACTCATAGTGACCCTATGTACAACAGAACCAAACACTACCCAGTCCTGCACCATCCTCACAATCGTGTTATGCTTGAGCCCATTGTTTACAGCCACTGTGTCAATCCATCTCATTGAGAGACTCCCTCTTTTTTGATGACCCTCTACTTTACAATGCATGATGTCCTTCTCCAGGAACTGATCCCTCCTGATAACATGTCCAAAGTATGTGAGATGTAGTCTCGCCATCCTTGCTTCTTAGGAGCATTCTGGTTGTACTTCTTCCAAGACAGATTTGTTTGTTCTTTTGGCAGTCCCTGGTATATTTAATGTTCTTTGCCAATACCATAATTCAATGGCATCAATTCTTCTTCTATCTTCCTTACGCATTGTCCAACTTTCTCACGCATATGAGGTGGTTGAAAACACCATGGCGCACCTTGGGTTAGGTGCGCCTTAGTCTTCAAGGTGACATCTTTGCTTTTTAACACTTCAAAGAGGTCTTTAGCAGATTTGCCCAATGTAATGCATCGTTTGATTTCTTGACTGCTGCTTCCATGGGTGTTGATTGTGGAAACAAGTAAAATGAAATCCTTGACAACTTCAATCTTTTCTCTGTTTATTATGATGTTGCTTACTGGTCCAGTTGTGAAGATTTTTGTTTTCTTTATGTTGAGATGTAATCCATACTGAAGGCTATGGTCTTTGATTTTCGTCAGTAAGTGCTTCAAGTCCTTTTCACTTTCAGCAAGCAAGATTGTGTCATCTGCATAACACAGGTTGTTAATGAGTCTTCCTCCAATCCTGATGCCCCGTTCTTCTTCATATAGTCCAACTTCTCGTATTACTTGCTCAGCATACAGATTGAATAAGTATGGTGAAAGGATACCACCCTGGCACATACCTTTCCTGACTTTAAACCATGCAGTGTCTCCCTGTTCTGTTCGAACGACTGCCTCTTGATCTATGTACAGGTTCCTCACGAGCACAATTAAGTGTTCTGGAATTCTCATTCTTTGCAATGTTATTCATAATTTCTTATGATTCACACAGTTGAATGCCTTTGCATAGTCCATAAAACTTATGTCCTTGGATAGGTTATTTCACTTCCTTAGACTTCAATAGGCTCATATTTAAATGGGGGACTACAATGATCATAGCAGCCATGTGGTGTTTCTTTTGAGAGTTGAATGAGATGAACTATATAAAACTCTTAGCACAGTGTCTGGCACAAAACAAGCACATAGAATATGTAAGTCTTCACTATTAATGTTGTCATTAGTGTTCAGTAAAATTAGATATTGTTATTAATAGTGATAATTGATGACTAATGTTATGATTTTTTTATACCATACCAACTTTGCACAACTAAACCTATGCAGATATGATGAAAAGAATTGAGGCAATTCTTCACTTGTGACTGTGTTTCTTTCTGCATCACACATTAATAGTGGCTAATTTTGTGAAAGAACAACTAATGCTTCTCAGATATAGAAAATTATTAAGATAAAACTTTTTCTTAAGTAAACCATTTCATCTATGTAATAAGATACTTGGAGTATTAAAAAAACAATATAAATGGATTTTTAAACATCTTTGAAAAATATCTATTCTACAATAAGTGGCTATTGACTACTTGCTATGTGACTCTTTAAGGCACCTAAAATGCATAAGTGAACAAGACAATGTTCCTGCCGCTTTGGAGCTATAACATAATGTAGCAGAACACAGGTAATAGATAAATAAATATGTAACAGAAGTCTAAGCAGTGATAAGAAAAATAAAACAAGGTAATACAACAGAAAGAGATGAGAGCTGCTATTTTAGTTATGGTGTTTAGAAAAGGCTGGACATTTGAGGAAGACCTGTATAGAGTGAGTGAAATGAACCATTTGAATATCTGAAGATAGAATAGTCTAGAATGAGCAAGAGCCAATGCGAAGTCATGAAGCTACGTATGAAATTAGTAAGCTCAAGAAACTGCACACTATGTCTCAAGATTATTGAGTAAGGAGGAGAATTGTAGGAAATAAGTTTATAAAGGAAGTGGGACCAGATTATATGGGGGCTTTTTAGGCCTTGAGAAGGACAATGGATTTTATTCCATGTGTGATGGGAAACCATTGAATGTTTTTCAACAGAACCATGAATAATCAGAATTCTACCAAACTGAATCATTGTAGGTACCCTCTTTTTCTAATAGTTTACTTCATTAAAATTTGGTGGCTTTATATTTGGTGGAATCTTTAGAATATATTTTATTACCACTTCCCTATTTCTTACAACTCTCAAATAGAACTCCTCAAAAAGAAATATATATATATATATATGTGTGTGTGTGTGTACCTATATATACATACATATAGGTATATACATACATGTACATATTTTTGCTTTGTGTGCAAAACCAAGTGAAACTTTGAAAGAGAAATATGTATTAGAGTTTTGCGGTGTTTGGATAGTGGAACAACGGCATCAGAATCACCTGGCTCACTTATTAAAAATCAGGTTACTGAGACCTAATCCAGATCTCGTGAGTCAAACTGTTGGAGTGGTCAGTGAATCTGAATTTTTAACAAGGTCTCAGGTGATTTTTAATGCACATTAAAATTTAGAAGCCACTGGCATGAATATTTTATGAGAAAGGTAAAATATAAAGTAGCACGATAAGGTACCTTTTAGAGTACTTGTCTACTTTCTCTCTTGGGTTCTACACTTTAAGAAATAATGTTATAATGGGTTAACTCATAAATGAAGGAACCAGAATGGGAAGTTGGGTGGAGGATTAAAATCCTTGAGTTATGATGAAAAGGTGAAGGAACAGAGGAAGCTGGACTTGGAGACTTGCCTCTAAATGTCTGAAAGACTGATAACAGAAGAGGTCACAGATTTAGCAGGCTGTGTTGTCCTCAGAATTTGAAATAAGACCAAAGGATGTGAATATTAGGCAGATAAATTTGGGCAAAAATAGAGGAGACTGTGTAATTACTGGAGTTGATCTACCTAGAATGTGTACATGTGATGAGGGAGCTTCTTGCACTGGGATCTCAATAACTGAGCTGACTACTCATCTCTGGGAGGTGCAGAGATACTCTTTATGAAGGCAGTGTTTAGGGATATATAAACTCTAATACCTTTTCGACCTTGAGCGTGTTAACAAGATGGCTGTTGACTCTTTTCTTTTCCAGTCAAAGAGAAGCAAATGAAAAAAATAATTCTGACTTCAGATCAAATGAGTCTGAATCAGCATCAGAAAAGGTAAGTTATTTACTGTGTTTTGGCAAGAACGGTATTTCTGTAAGACAATGCTTGGTCATCAAGGATATGAAAAGAAGGTGTCAGTGTGGCCAGTCAAGGCCTTGCCTTTAGATGATCAAAAGCCATGATTAATATAAATACCACTGGGTGGCATGAATAGTTTGAGTTTGGCTACTAACCGGAAGATCGGTGGTTCAAACCCACCCAGCAGTGCCACAGAAGAAAGGCCTGGTGATCTACTTCTGTAAGATTAACCAAAAAGAAAACCAAACCTATTGCCATCAAGTCAATTCCAACTCGTACGCCCCTATAGGATAGAGTAGAATTGCCCCATAGAGTTTCCAAGGAGTGGCTGGTGGATTCGAACTGCCAACCTTTTGGTTAGCAGCTGTAGCTTGCCGTAGCTCTTAACCACTGCACTACCAGGGCTCCTCTGTAAGATTGTAGCCATTGAAGACTCTATGGAGCAGTTCTACTCTGACACACATGGGGTTGCCACGAGTAGGAATTGACTTGGTGGCAATGGGTTTTAGTAGATCCTTCAGTGTAGAAATTGAATGGCATATGGAAGTGCTTCAGTCTAACACTTACAAAGCACTTTTATAAATAGTAGTTTATTTAATTTTCTCAACAGCCTGATGAAATAAGGCTTTTCAGCCTTACTTGATAGAAGGTGAAAATGAGATTCAGCCAGTATATTAGCTTCCTGTTGCTGCTGTAACAAATTGCTGCAAATATAGTGGCTTAAAACAACACAAATTTATTATCTTATGTATTTTGAGTTCAGAAGTCCTACATGGGTCTCACTGAGCTAAAATCAAGGTGTTAATAGTGCTTCATTTCTTTGTGGAGACTTTAGGAGAGAATCCATTTTCTTGCCTCTCCTAGCTTCCAGAAGTTGTCTGCATTCCTTGGCTCATGGCCCCTTCCATCTTCAAAGCCAACAATGACCCATCAAGTATTTCTCATTCTATATCACTAACACTGACCTTTCTTCCTCCCTCTTTCACTTATAAAGACTCTTGTGATTATATTGGGCCCACTCACACAATCCAGGATAATCACATCTCAAGGTCAACTGATTAGCAACCTTAACTTTATCTTCAATTTTAATTTCTCCTTGCCATGAAGGTAACATATTCACAGGGTTCAAGGATGGAATGTGAACATATTCAGGGGGCCATTATTCTGCCTACCACAGCAAGTATAAGTGACTGCCAACTTTTCTAATTCTCAAATTGAAATCTCCTAATTCTCAAATCCAATAAAATACTATGTGAAAATAGCATTTCCAATATATGCTTCTTTTCTTTTCAGGACATATGTGATGAGTTTAAAAGTCAAATGAAAAATGGACAACTTATCTCTACTTGGGAGAGTGACCCTGTCCGGGGTCCAGACAGCAAGACACACGGCAATAAGTTTGCAATGTGTAAAGAAAGACTGTAAGTATTTTTTTAATGGATTGGCTTTTTTATTATTTTTTATAATTTGTTTATCTCTGTTGTTGTTGAGAATATACACAGCAGAACATAAACGAATTCAACAATTTCTACATGTACAATTCAGTGACATTGATTATATTCTTTGAGTTGTGTAGTCATTCTCACTTTCCTTTTCTGAGTTGTTGCTCCCCCATTAACATAAACTCACTGCTCCCTAAGATTCCTAGCTAGTCTTTTGAGTTACTATTGTCAATTTTATCCCATATAAATAGATCTTAAAAGAGCATAATGCTCAAGGGAGGCATTTTTTATGGTATCATGGGACATCCTAGTTAATTGGCCTAATAACATATTTAGTTCTTCTGTTCTACCTCGTAGTTTGTTATGTAGTGCCTAGGTCTTAAAAGCCAGCAAGCAGCCATCCACAATACAACAGTTGGTCTGTATCCATCTAGAGCAACAGGGGAAGAAGGAGAGTCAAGAATAGGTGGAAGAAATAGAATATGTGGCTAATTGCCTCCAGGAGAAACAGCCTCCTTTGCCATGAGACCAGAATTCTATGAAAGAATCCTGATCAAAAGGGGGAAAATACAGAGCAGAATTTCAAATTCTCATGGACTTCAGACTTTCTGGAGCCATGGAGGCTGAATGAACCTCTGAAACAATTGCCCTGAGATAATCGTCAAATTTTAAACTTTAATGGGCTTTTGATTGTGAGTCTTAAAATGTACTAATCATCACTCACCAGTTTGGGAAAAATGACAATATTTTTTAAAGCAGATATTCTGGTAATTAGCAAGCTGTTTGTTCACTTTGGTTAAAGATGTTCTTCCATTGTTTCTTCCCGGGAAAGGGAAGCAGCTGAAAAAAAGAAGAAAGAGGAGAAAGACACGAGAAAAAGTAATGAAAAGAGCAATGAAAAAGAGGTAATATATTTTAGATATATTAATACCTAAAATTTGTCGGTTAGTTGTTTAGTTGATCCATTAAATGAATATTTATTGAAGGTCAACTCTGTCCCAGTCATCGGGGATACAATGGTAAACAAGAAAGGCATGGCCAAATCTTGCAAAGGAAATAACATACTATTTGATGCCCTAAGGGCAACTCTTATGCAATTACCATGCATATAGAGGATTAGTGATAATTGTCAAATTATTGTTGCTTCCAGTGAATTTATTTTCTGATATTCTAAAGAAAAAAAAAAAAAAAAAAAATCAAGCAAACAGATGCCAAAAATAACAAACAAGAAAGCATGTATCATTGGAGTTCTAGATGATAAAATCTTGATCTGGCTCTTCACTGATATTGAGGGTTCAGTATGAGGCTTTATAAATAGTGTTCAAAGCTTTATAACACCAATACAAAGAATATTACACAATACAATCTCTTCTACTCCATCTATTGACTCCAATTAAAAAAGCAAAATAGTGAATTTCCCCAGAAAGTTTTTCCTCTTAGTGAGGCAAATTTTCATTAGTCAAAATCAACTAGAAGGCAATGGGGGTTTTATACTCACTCAATATAATGAAACATCAATGATAAACATCATTATTTAAAAAATATCCTGGGAATTTCTGTTGTGCACTTTGGTAAATGAATAGCTTTCAGAAAAAGGCATTATTTTACTAGTACAAATTATCTCCACTGGCCATCTATTTTATTTAAACTCTTGGTCAGTTTTCAGTTTCATGGTATCTATTTTAGAAATTTCAAACAGAAAATTATATATATTTAAGAAATCCATTTTTTTCTGGCAAAAAGAGAAATAGGGTCACATCTACACATGCAAATTTTAAAATAAGCCCCACTAAGAGCATGCATTATCAAATTAAATCTTCCCCACGATCTATGCAGTGGGTGATATTGTTACAGTTTTGCAGTTGAGAAACACTCGAGATGTTAACCACACATGAATGTTAAACAGAAGAGCCAGAGACTGAACACTTAAACCAAGGATTATAGTACAGGCAGACCTATGCTATCATCTACATGTACGTATGTGGTATTTTGGGCATCTTGAAAAGAAAATAGTTCTAGACACTTCTGAAAATGATGGTTGTGAGATACTTGATAAGTTGACCAGGTATTCAATCCTAAAGAGCATTTAAAATGCAGCAGATAAAAGTAGGTCTGGAATCGTTTATGAGTATCACAGTTTATAGAAAGAAGAATAAGTACAATCAAGATTACTAGCAATATTTTCTAAGGTTGTCTTTCCAAATTTCTGCTTTGACTCTTGGGCTTAAAAGAAGCTGAAGACAGATTTCTGAAGATCTCCAATGATTTCAGCAGAGGTCAGATCCAGTGAGCTAGGTTCCATTGGTTTCTTATTAAGGTCTTTATGTGAAGAAAAAGTCAGCTCTATATTCTTACAAATGGATAAGAGCTTTCTTCTCTGCCATATAAAAACAGAGAAAAAAAAAAAAAAAGCAACATAGTCTGGTTGTTGGCAGGGCTGAAATCATGAATACCACATTGACTTTAACTAATCTCTCTGAGCCTTATTTTTCTCATCTATATAACGGGGATAATGAGTGTCAATCTTATGGGATTTTTTATAAAAATTAAAGGACATTCATTAGAGCACACAGCAAAGTGTTTGGCATGTAATATACATTTGATAATTTAAAAAAATGTTATTGAGTAAAGCTAAAATTTTACATGTTGATATGTCTTGCCAGAGAAGTGTCTTTTCATTCATTCCAGGGTTTTAAATTTGACCCTTTATGCATGGAGTAATAAATACAGTTGCAAAGAGAACAGGTTTGGGACTCAGCCTAGTACAAAACTGTCTGAAAATAGAATGGGTTGCCTTAAGTGATAGTGAAGTTCTGTCGGAACAGTACTGATATGGAGACAGATGGAGAGAATTCAAATTTCTTAGTCAGGGATTGAATGAAGAGCTTTTAAAACACATGTCAACCCCGAAATTTTATTTTCTCTAGTTTTTTTTCTTTCCTTCAAATGTTATGAGTTCATACCTAACTAACCAATCATATTTTTAAGTTTTAAAGATCAGACTATGGTAATAACATCTTTTGCTCATATTGGCAGGATCAGTGTCATGAATTCAGGAACCTACTGAGAGGGGGATATCTTCTGTGCACCAAAGAAAATGACCCTGTTCAAGGCCCAGATGGCAAGATGCATGTCAACAAGTGTGCAATGTGTCAGAGTGTCTTGTACGTGAAGAGGTTTATTGATCAATTTGACACAGTGTGCTAGTTTGTCAGAAAATAATTCTTCTTACTTTAAGACCTAAGATACTTGGCATCACACATTAAAAATATAATAATAGTGCCTCACTTTTGCAGAGGACAGTAAGTTTGCAAAACACTTTCATAGAAATTGTAATTTTCATAATGAAAGGCATAATCATACCTGGAGCCACTGAGGCAGGAAAGGCAGCTTACCTGAGTGAAAGTCAGTTCACTTTACTGAGCCTCAGTTGCCTACATATAATACCTACATTATATACGTGATTGCAGTTAGCTGCTGAGTTGGCTCGAACTCATGGCGAACCCATATACAGCAGAACGAAATATTGCCCAGGCCTGTGTCATCTTTAGGATCATTGTCATGTTTGAGTCCAGTTAGACAATATTCTGTTCCGATCCACGGGATTTTCATTTTTGGGATATATTGCCATTTCTTCCTTCCTGTTTTTGTTGCTGTTAGGTTCCGTCAAGTTAGTTCCAACTCATAGTGACCCTATGCACCATAGTATGAAACACTGCCTGGTCCTGCACCATACTCACAATCGTTGTTATGCTTGAGCTCATTGTTGCAGCCACTGTGTCAATCCATCTCATTGAGGGTCTTCCTCTTTTTCGCTGACCCTCTATTTCACCAAGCATGATGTCCTTCTCCAGGGTCTGATCCCTCCTAACAACATGTCCAAAGTATGTGAGACGTAGTCTGTAAGACTTCCTTCCTAGTCTGTCTTAGTCTGGAAGGTCTGCTGAAATCTGTCAACCATGGGTGACACTGCTGGTATTTGAAGTACTGTTGGCGTAGCTTTCGGTATCATGGCAACATGCAAGCCACCACAGTACGGCAAACTGACAGACTGGTGGTGGACATTATAGATAGGTATGTAATGAAACCAACAGCATACAGTTTTTGTGGAAATTCAAGGAGATAATATTTGCAAAAGTGTTTATAAACTTCAAAACACTATAACTAGGTAAGGTACAATCAAACCGTAGTGTTTTAGTTATAATTTAATTTAACAAGAAAAAAGAGAGAAATAAAGCAACTTCCTATATGAGAGAAATTAATGTATTCAATTAAGGAAAAAATAAATAGCCTTTTAAGATTATACCATTCTGGATCATTGTTTATTAACTGAATTTACAAAAGTTAATAGCATTGCTACATATATGAAAATTTCAACAATCAAAATTGACTAGTAAAAAACATATTTTTTAGATTTTTGAAAAAATAGTGTTGGATTTCCTAATGTTTAGAATAAGAGCAATACTTGGTAAAATAAAATTGAAAAATAACCAGAGAAAAATACTCCTATCCTTTTTATTCTGCAGTGAGCAAGAAGCTAATGAAAGAAAAAAGAATGATGAAGAAAAATCACGTGCGAAAACTTCAAATGACTCGAAGGTTATTTCTTAAAAGATATCAAAATAATTTTCAAATTAATTCTCCTACTTTTCACCCTCAGAATCCTGTATTCCCCTCCAGTTTTTGAATAATAAAGATGCTAACATTTTACTTCAAAGAAAATTGATTTTTTTGGCTTTGGATTTTGATGCTTTTCTTTTTATTTATTTATGTATTTTGATTGTCGTAGTTTAGATGAAGTTTACATTTCAAGTTAGTCTCCCATACAAAAATTTATACATATTTTGTTATGTGACCCTAATTTCTCTCCCCATACTGTGACAGCACACTCCTCCTTTCCACCCCTGATTCCCCATGTCCATTCAACCAGCTCCTAACCCTCTCTGCCTTCCCATCTCACCTCCAGACAGAAGCTACCCATTTAATCTCTTGTATCTACTTGAGCTAAGAGGCACACTCCTCATAAGTATTCCTTTATGCCCCACAGTTCAGTCCAATCCCTGTCTGAAGAGTTGAACTTGAAAATTGTTTTAGTTCTGGGCTGATAGAGAATCCAGGAGCCATGCTTTCTGGGGTTCCTCCAGTCTCAGTCAGACCATTAAGTTTGGTCTTCTTACTAGAATTTGACTTCTGCACCCCACCTTTCTCCTGCTCTAGCCAGGACTCTCTGTTGTGTTCCCTGTCAGGGCGGTCATTGGTGGTAGCTGGGCACCATCTAGTTCTGGTCTCAGGCTGATGCAGTCTCTGGTTTATGTGTCCCCTTCTGTCTCTTGGATTAATGCTTTCCATGTGTCTTTGGTGTTCTTCATTCTCCTTTACTCCAGGTGGTTGGGACCAATTAATGCAGCTTAGATGGCCACTTCCAAGCTTTTATGACCCCAGATGCCACTCTCCGAAGTAGGATTCAGGACATTTTCTTAATAAGCTTTGTTATGCCAATTGACCTAGAGGTCCCCTAAAAGCATGGTCACCAGATCCCTACCCCTGCTACTCTGTCCCTCAAAGTGTTTGATTATATTCAGGAAACTTCTTAGCTTTGGTTGAGTCCTGTTGTGCTGACTTCCCATGTAGTGTGTGCTGTCCTTCCCTTCACCTAAGATAAAACTTGTATACTATCTAGTTAGTGAATAACCCTCCCCATCTCTCCTCACCCTTGTACCATCAAAGAACATTGTCTGCTGTGTTTAAACCTTTACTTGAGCTCTTATAATAGGGGTCTTATACAATATTTGTCCTTATGTGACTGATTAAATTCACTCAGCATAATGACTTCCAGTTTCCTCCATGTTATGTTTCACGCCTTCATCATTGTTCTTTATCGTTGCATAGTATTCCATTGTGTGGATATACCATAACTTGTTTATCCATTCATCCCTTGATGGACACCTAGGTTGTTTCCATCTTTTGCTATTGTAAGCAGTGCTGCAATGAACATGGGTGGGCATATATCTATTTGTGTGACAGCTCTTATTTCTCTAGGATATATTCCAAGGAGCAGGAGAGCTGGATCTTATGGAACTTCTATTTCTAGCTTTTTAAGGAAGCGCCAAATCAATTTCCAGAGTGGTTGTACCACTTTACATTCCTACCAGCAGTGTATAAGTGTTGCAGTCTCTCCACAAGCTCTCCAGCATTTATTATTTTCTGTATTTGGGATTAATGCTAGCCTTGTTGGGGTAAGATTATATCTCATTGTAGTTTTGATCTGCATTTCTCTAATGTCTAATGATTGTGAGCATTTCTTTGTGTATCTGTTAGCTGCCTGAATATCTTCTTTAGTGGAGGGCCTGTTCATATCCTTTGCCCATTTTTCAACTGGGTTATTTGTCTTTTTGTTGTTGAGGTTTTGCAGTATTTTGTAGATTTGAGAGATTAGATGCTGATCGGATTTGTTGCAGTTAAAATTTTTTTCCCAGTCTGTGGGTTGTCTTTTTACTCTTTTGGTGAAGTCTTTTGATGAGCGTAAGTGTTTGATTTTTAGAAGCTCCCAGTTATCTAGTCACTCTTCTAGTGCTTGTGCATTGTTACTTATAGTTCATATTGTGTTTATGCCATGTATTAGGGCTCCTAGCATTGTCCCTATTTTTTCTTCCATGATCTTTACCATTTTCAATTTCATGTTTAGGTCTTTGATCCATTTTGAGTTAGCTTTTGTGCATGGTGTGAGGTATGGGTCTTGTTTCAGTCACACATATCCAGTTACACGAGCACCATTTGTTAAAGAGACTGTCTTTTCCAAAATTAATAAACTTTGGGCCTTTTTCAAATATCAGCTGCACATAGGTGGATGAATTTATGTCTGGATTCTCAATTCTGTTCTGTTGGTATATGTATTTGTTGTTGTACCAGTACCAGGCTGTTTTGACTACCATGGTGGTATAATAGTTTCTAAAATCAGGTAGTGTGAGGCCTCCTACCTTGTTCTTCTTCTTGAATAATGCTTTACTTATTCGATCCTCTTCCTTTTCCAAATGAAGTTGGTGATTTGTTTCTCCATCTCATTAAAAAATGCTGTTGGAATTTGGATTGGGATTGCATTGTATCTACAGATTGCTTTGAGTAGAACTGAAATTTTCACAATGTTGAGTCTTCCTATCCATGAGAAAGGTATATTTTTCCACCCATGCAGGTCTCTTGGTTTCTTGAAGTAGTATCTTGTAGTTTTCATTGTATAGGTCTTTTACATCTCTGGTTAGATTTATTCCTAAGTATTTTATCTTCTTGAGGACTATTGTAAATGGTATTGATCTGGCGATTTCCTCTTCGAGGTTCTCTTTGTTGGTGTAAAGGAATCCAAGTGATTTTTGTAGTTTATCTTATATCCTGAAACTTTGCTGAAATCTTCTGTTAGTTTCAGTAGTTTTCTTTTGGATTCTTTGGGGTTTTCTATGTATAAGATGATACCATCTGCAAATGGAGATACTTTGACTTCTTCCCTACCAATTTGGATGCCCTTTATTTCTTTCTGTAGCCTAATTGCTCTGGCTAGGACCTCCGGCAAGATGTTGAATAATAATGGTGATAAAGCGCATCCTTGTCTCGTTTCCGTTCTCAAGGGGAATGCTGTCAAAGTCTCTCCATTTAGCACGATGTTGGCTGTTGGCTTTGTATAAATGCCCTTAATTATACTGAGGAATTTCCCTTCTATTCCTATTTTGTTGAGAGTTTTTATCATGAGTGGGTGTTGGACTTTGTCAAATGCCTTTTCTGCATTGATTGATAAGATCATGTGGTTCTTGTCTTTTGTTTTATTTATGTGATGGA